AGCACTGCGGTGGTTCAATGTATAAACCGTTCGGATCATATACACATGATAAAGAGTGTTGCATTAGGAACAGGATGTCAAACTCTTCGGAGCAACAACCGACATCATTTCTGGTTTTTATGTTAGTTCAAACTGCATAAGCTTTAGTTTTTAGTTTTTATTCATTGTTGTTACTATGTTCTACTTACATCCTGCCCTGAAAGTGGACTTCTTTTTGTATACGGTCTCTTTATTTTCAAGTAATGTCAAATGTTTTATGTTGGATACATTGGCATGAATTTGTTTAACATTTTATTACCATGCAGTATATTGTCCTTCAATGATAGACGATTTATTTGTCACAACAACAAGCCAAATCTAAAACAGACTCCGAAAGTTTTACAGTTTTATTGTTATGATTTGTTTGTATAATTCTCCAGATTAAGAATGAAAAAGTCATGTTTCAGAACAATATGATCAATTTATTCCCTACTGCATAAAAAAAAAAACATTTAAGTTTCCATTGTACTGTAGTTGTCTCTGTGTGACGACATTGTTCATTCATTCACACAACTATATGCATTTATTCTTTGCTTCCTGCATTCTAACGTTGCAGTGTCGTTTTTTTTCTTTTTATTTCCCTTTTTGTTTCCTTCCACCTTTTCTGTCGATACTAAACCTCTAATCTTTAGCATGTATTCGTTAACGTTTTTGTGTCACTGATCCTGTAAGAAAATTAAAAGTAAATCAAGACTTGTTACACTCCCTTGGAAATTTATACAATCCATATAGTATAAAGTAAGAATAATTATAAAAAAATAAATACGAATTCAATTTTGTATAAAATTAAGTTATAATATTGAAAATTTTACTTTTGCAATCATATCAATTTTGTACGATGAAATTCGATTTCAATATATGCTAAAGGTAGATAATAACGTTACGTAGTATTCAATTTTTCTGAATCAAATTAGGGAATGTATATTTGTAACTTCTCGTCGTCAAATGCATTTTCCTGCCCCTGATATTATCAATTGTTCCCACATTACTCCTTGCACTCAGTTTCATATTGTCCCTGCCTGTCGTACTAAGATGCTTGATCTAAAATATAATTGCAGGAAGCTTAATTTTATCTAAGACAAGTAGTTTTAAAAGCATTAAAACATCAAAGTGAATCTAACTTCATTTTTCCATATGGGCTCTGTGATGTTTCTTTGTGGTGGTTGATTATTGCTACATATATTTAAGACTCGTCGCGGCATTTATACATAATAATTTAATTTTTAAATTCGGTAATCAGTTAGCATAAGTTTCATTTAATGTCAAGAAATATATACTCACTATTTGATATCACAAACATGTAAAGATTATGTAAGATATATCGTTTACACATATAACGACTCTAATACGAAAACTTTCAACACACCGACGTATTTAAGAAATAAGAATTATATAATTAAAGACAAGAAACTAAGTACGCTTTGATGAGCAATTTATGTAAGCGATTGTTCGCATTGCGTCTAGTAGCTTATATTTCATGTTAAATTCAGAGCGATACAAACAAAATCATGTTTGAATTTAAGATTTAAATAAGATAAGAAAAATAAACTATAAGATGACCCATAAACATAGATATTATATACACTAAATGTTTTATCAAATAAGGCATGCACTTCTTCCCGCAGTTTAAAAGAAAAACAAATTGAAGAATAATAAATTAGTGTGGGTTCTTACAAACAAAACAAATTATTTACAAATTGTACCAAATATTGATAAAGTAGCAACCTTCTATTTTTCTTTTGTACAAACTTAATTGCCATGGAAACTATCATTAAACAGCGGATAACATATGGACAACCTTATCAAAATGTACCTGATTGAACGAATCGTTGTATCAAATGTCATGTTCAATAATTGTTCATTATGTTGGCTTGCGCAAAGTAAGGAATTATAAATAATTAAAATAATAATGCATTTGCAATCAGGATTTCCCACCGAAAAAAAAAATTACAGCATAGTTCAATCGATCATAATAATGTTTGGCCCAATCGATTATATATAACATTGGACAAATGATGGCCCAACATCGGTCTATCATAAAGTAGGAAATCCGATGATAGTCATTAATCCTATTTGGTCCAACATTCATTCTTCAAAAAACATGCAACAATTGAATAAAAAATCTCCTCAAAAGATCATAGAAACACTTGAAGTATTTCATAAGTGAGTAGTAATTGACAAAGTTTTCATATCCGTTTTACAGTTTGTTTAGCAGCTGCAAGCTCTTGAATATCGTATGAGTATAGAAATGTATACTCCGTACGCGGGTGTAGTTTGTATATTGCTGCTAAGGTGAGGAACATTTATAATTTCAAAATTGATATCATCTCATTTGTCATAGACTCTAGTACTGAAATGATGCAGAGGAAGCTGTATCTGTAGTTTCTTTAATCAGATGATATGTTGAAATATTATATAGAACCCATTGTAAAATATATACAAATAATCTTTCCAGGTATGGCAATAAGTGGAGAAGAGTATCCATTTCTTTCATCTACACCCATGTTGCAACTGATTAACAACACTTAATATTTTAAGCTTTTCTTTAAGTGTACTATGATTCTTTATTGACTACTACTTACTAATTAAACGTTCGCTGAAAAATTTTGGTTTGACATGCAAAGTTATAATAATAATCAGATAATAATATTTTAGAAATTTTATGACATAAATATTATGTATATATATTTAAATGAATAAATGATGATCTGGTGTGTAGGTCAATGAGACAGTAACCAAACAACACAAACAAGTAAATAGCAAAAACAATTTCTAGTGGGAAATATACAGTCTGCAACTTCCGAAACTATAAAAGTGAATACATTTAACAGACACTTTCAAATACCAGCAATTAGCACAAAATTGTGTACATAACAACACACATTATGATCTGTCGTGACTCATAAGACAAAATCTTACCACATTGACTTGGTTCGCTTTAAAGGAATTAAACCATCGAGTGATAAGTATATATTAAAAAAAGGCACACACATCCCCTCCCTTCAGGCCAAAAAAACTTAGTTCTTCCTTATATCATTTTAGTTCACCTATTTTATTTTATTTTAGCTTTATCTAACGTCACTTTTTGTGATATAAAATTTATTACTATTCCTAATTTGTTAGATATGCACATGTTTGAGCCTTTGCCTGGAAGGTTATTCTTTTCAGTTTTTCTATGCCTATTTGACCATTTTTTCTTTTCTTAATATTTTGGTTCATATTTCTTACGAATTTGTTTACATTTTTGGATGCATTATTTTCTATTCTAATATGTGTACAAGTCTTATCAAGACTCTCATTTAATTATACATAGAGGTAATTAGAATGACTCTAGTTAATTACAGGTGTACGAATATTTGTCAATTAGTTATGGAAAATAGATAGAAATTTAGTCGATCTTGCGACACCTTTAAATTCCCCAAAAAGCGCAGGATACATTTCATCTTTTTCTAAAAGATGAACATAAGGAAAAATAGTATCAGGTGTTATAAGAAAAATGTGATGCGAGGTTGCATTGGTGTTTATAATATCACGATATAAACAAGGACGACTGTCTCAACAATGGGACGTTGCTTTAGTAGAAATAGAAAGGAATGGAATAAATATATAAACTTACACAGAGCTATACTTGAAAAAAAAGAATGCTGTTGTTCTATCAAAATTTCAACATGAGATGCGTGATTGCATAAGTGTTTTATCATAACAAAAAGCTTTAATGCAATCAACAGTTCACTCACGCTGTCAATGTTTTATTTCATTTGGATTGAATGCTATATTGGATAGAGTAAGGACAATGCAATATTATTTTCAATTCATTTATTAACTTGCTCTATGACATGTATGAGCTAGATCACTTTGCTGATTGAAAAGTATGATGATTGTTATCAATATAACATTTAACGTTGTCTTCAAGCTTTTCAATACAATAAATCTTCACGAAAAAAAAATATTATGAATAAATGCAGACATGAATGTACTGCATAATCACGTGTTATATGGAACAGATAATAATTTATATTTGTGTTCCCGTATCTTTAAACATTCAAACGGAAAATAATAAACCGATGTAAAATTAATATTCATTGACTAGCAAGATAACCTTCGGTAGGTAATCACATGATATAAATAGATTCAAATAACATTATGATTTGACAATATCCTTAACGTTGCTATAATTATAGTTGGGAAATGCACGAATTGTGTAGAATTACCTGAGGGTTCTAAAATAAACAAGTTCGATATAATAACTAAACTTATGATTCAATATACTTAGAAAAGGTGTAACAGTGATAGTTAGGATGAACATATTCATACACTTGATAATTGTGTTCCGCAAAGAAGCGTTCTTACATGGATTTAGTTTTTTATTGCGCTTTTTGTTTCTTGGATCTTCCCCACTTTTCGGTACTTTTCTATACTTCTCGCTAGGTGATAACCTGATATAAATAGATTGCCATTAAGAGCTACATTTTGATTGGACAACTAGATTTAAAGTAAAATTAATTACATTTCAGAAAATACGTGAATGGTGTAGAATTTCCTGGTGTTATTGAGGAAAGTATTTTTGATATAATAAACAAATAGGATTAAATATAAATAAAAGTGTCACATTGATTGTTAGGTTGAATATATTTATTAACTTGATATACGAACATTTGCAAGGTTTCGGTTTTGCATTGATGCGTGTATGTTAACTTGTAATGTTTAGTTTCCCTGGTATTCCCCATTTGTATTTAATCTGTTACAACCAGGCCAAAACGAGGCGGTTTGTCAACAGATATTTTCAATACACAATTCATTAAGTTTTGTGCGGACAAGATTAATCATTTCCCGACAAGTTTTGGACGAATAAATATCTTTTGCAAATTTGTTTTTAGACATTTATTTGACACTACTTTAAATAACATACAATCATTTAACCTTTGTATTAATTGGTCGATATATAAATAGAAACCAGACGTTATATGAGTCATCATCATTACAAAGAACAACTATTAAAAACTTGATTTTCCGAGAAAACTGTAGTCAATCAAGGATTTAGATCATAGTATGAAAAGAAACTAAAAAGTAAGTAAAACGTCATTTTGAGTACAAACTTACTTTCGATTAAGCAATATGACAATATGTCGCAGTAAACTTGTTCAAATAGTAAACAAGGGCGTATGATCTCGTGAATCAAATCATACTAGCAATTTCAAAAAGGAGAAAGAAGAGCTAGTGTATTCCTATTTGGTTTCAATTGGTTTAAAAAAAAATATAAAAAAGACTTATGCGAATTCAGTCAATTTATATTTCTGTAGTCAAAACCAATACTTATTCCATTTGTCAATAACAAAGAATGCTATATATAGTTGCATTGTAATCATTTCTACAATGTTCTAGTAACTTGTTTAAAAATAGATAAGGGGAAATTGAAAGAATAAATAACCCCAAATACAAGAGTTAGGTCTTTTATCGGCACACATATTATTATCAATAATAATGTACAGGAACAACTTTTCTTAAATCAATTATTTAACTTTTTATCATTACGATATTCTAAACAAAATGTTGTTTTCACATTTTGAAACAATTAGTTTTCCTCGGATTTGGACTTAAACAATTTATTTTCAGAAAACTTTGCAACAGCCAACCTCTCACCACCAACCAAACATAATAATGTTTCCTGTCATTAAGCCTTAATGAAATGGTTTATGATAGGTTATCTACTCTTCTCATATATAAACGTCAAGTCGTATTGACATTTTAATCGTTTTATTTTTTTGTGTAGTGGAATATGACGCATTTCTAAAAAAAGTTTTAAATTTCTATTTCTATTTATAGAAAGTAAACTTTCTTTTGGTCGTCATTTTGAAACAACGGTTTTATATGTCATTTTATAATAATTTTTAAAAAAATCATTGATTTATTATGTCATTTTTCTTAAAATTCATTCCACCAAACATGGAAATAGAAATATATTGTTTCGGGTAACTAATATATGTGCGTACTTATGTCAATATAGAGAAAAGCTGCAAAAAATGTGATGTCAAGATACACATGTGATCCTCACACAATTCTCCTTATAACAGTAAAGAATATGAGGCACTTTTCAAGAGGTAAAATAAATTCAATGTATTAGAGCCTTGTACGCACCTATCCCTTCCATCAAAATCTATAAACTGTGTACGTATATTAAATATGTAAATGATTGTTCTTCTGGCTTATAATTCCTATACTTTAAGTGCTGTTATTAATATTTGATGTCAATATACAAATAACTTGCCTGTTAAACTTTTAAATGTTAAAATTGTATTCACTGAATCGATGTAAAGCATCGACTTCCTTATGAATAAATTATACTCGTATTTTACAATAGAGTCATAAAAAGAGGGGCGTATGGGAAGGAATGAAGGGTGACGACGTGAGCCTAACGGACAAGTCAATTATAAACAAGGTAGCTTGACAACGAGAAACAGATATTACGAATGCAATTATTCAATATTTATAATGTAAATGATGCATACAACACTCAAGCACGATTCTAAGGAACAGGTTATGAAAAGCATTTTTAAGCAGAAAGTAAAAATAAATGAATTAAGTACCAAGGTAAGTATTGTCATCATGAATGCATTGGACTCAATTAATGTTGTGTCAATCAACATATAACTTAAACACTTTGTTTACGTTAGACTCTCGTCATAGTCTCTAACATAAGCGAAACATAATTAGACATATACATTTAACCGTTAAAAAATTAATATGCAACAAGACCATGAGTTGATATAAGTCCAATATAAACAAGAACCTACGCTTAAGTCGTTCTCTTGTAATAACAGGAAAAAATAGGTGCGTACAAAAAAGTGAAAATAGACATGAATAAAAAGGTATGTTGATACTATGAATATTGACCGAAATGCTTAATAGAATGATGTTAATTAAACTGCATATTGTCTAGTTTACGATTTTATATAATTCGCATTGTATTTCAAACACATATTTTGAAATTCAATTTTTAGAAGTTGAACCAATTTCAATGAAAATTTGTCATATTTGATGTCAGTAGCCATGTTTAATCAACTTTTTTGGATTAAAACTTCTGTTGATGGCAAACGTCAGCTTTAAAATTGCTACAATATGGTATTTCAGCCTTGTCTGGTCATACCTTATGCATACAGTTTAAACTTAACTTTAAATTTCAATTTTGCATTTTTGAGGATTGCCACCAATGTAACATGTATGTTATGATAGCTCTCTGTCAAATGATCTTCTGGTTTCTTTTTAAATTTAATGGTTTTCTTAATGTAGCAGTTATTGACTTAAGCAACTTGAAAATACGTATTCCAAAATCTCACTTTAAATGCAATTTGTAACCAGTTTGGTGCACGCAAGTTGTTCAGCTAAGAGATGTATAAATTGCAATTTTGTATCCATGTTATACCACAGAAGTATGGTTTATACCAAAAAATGCCCTATTCCAAATCCAGAAATAAGGGGGAACACATTCTTAAGTAAGTCTTATGTGTTGGACTTCTGATTTTATTATTTGATGAACAATCTCTTATAAAATGTGACATATAGGTAAGAACATTGTTTCCGTAGTTACAAAACCAACTGGTCATTTTGGGAAAAACATCTCATATTGGTCATAACCCATATGTTACTACCAGTTTAATTTGAGCTTAAATGAATCAAAATATATTTTGTACCATTGCCATATATTCGCTATTAGGAATATGTCAATCTTATGTTCTCTTATCATAGAGTAAACGGAACAACTAGTTGCAGGTTTAAAGTCACAAACTGGTTATTCGCTTGTTCTGGTCCCATAGCTGAGTGTACCATACCTGCAATATGTTCATTTATATATATTATTCAAAATATTTGCTTAGTGGACAGTCAGAATTTTGGGTATATGTATATAAAGAAATAGCTTCACATTATCATAATTATAAATGGTGTGTGCATTGTCACAATCATGTGTTTGAGAAATACATTGCAGTTAGATTAAGGTTTGAATAAACCAGATTAAAATATAAAAGGCATACCAAAAGAAGAACTCATACGCAGGACTGGCTTGTACTGTTGAACAGGAAAGAGAAGGGTACGATAAAGGCCTTATTTGCTCTAACTTAAATTTGTATTGAAATTGGAAAAAATGATTTAAGATTTCAATTTATGTATATTTTTTTTAAAGTTTTGATGCAAATTAAAAAAACTAATGGTGTTTTATCCATTGCATCACAATCAATGCAGTTTTGACATTGGCAAGAAAAGGGCCGCCATTCGGGAAAAATACTAAGATTTTGATCATTTTGTGCATAGTTTCAGGAACTGCAAGTAACCAGCGCTACTGAATAATTTTCCACAATGATTGCCTATATGAACAACAACTTTCATGTAAACAGTGTTCTGGTACTTGCATACGCTCAAAATTTCTAATGGCAAATGTGTTTGAAAATATGTAAATGTTGTCCTTTTGTGAAAGAAAGGCGAACGATACCAAAGGGACATTCAAACTCATAAGTCAAAATTAAACTGTAAATATCATTGCTAAAAAAAAAAAAAAAACCAAAAGGAAATCAACGGTAAATAAAACACAACATAGAAAACTTAAGACTAACCTGCACGAACCCCACAAAAAACCGTGGGTAATCTCAGGTATTCCCGCAGGGTCAGCAGATTTTGCTCTACATGTGGCACCCATCGTGTTGCATATATACGTACCAACCCGGTTATAATTCTAATTCGGTAGGTCACAATCGAGGAAAAGAGGACGAAATTATGGTTACGATAACTGTATGTTCCTTAATGGGAGATCTGCCAACTTTCCCGGTTTTTGGGGGATATCCCCCATGAGAGGTGTTGACCTGACCCTTATGATATTCAAATATTAAGACTAAATACTTTTAAAAAGGCATTTAGGGGAGAAACAAAAATACATTTAACACATGTATTCTCATTCAAAACAATAGAGGTCATCTTGTGCCTAAAATTCCCCATGGAGAATTTAAAAAGTTGGCAGGTAAGTACGAAATGGACAAGCAACTCGTGATGCCGGCCGTATAATTGATGAATATGATATTAATGAAAACATATATATATATAGATACTAGGGATGTCAACTCGGCGAAGAATTTTATACCATAACTAATAGCTCATTTACTACATGCACTTATTATGTAAACTGACGCTAATCTAATAAATTAATTAATAAACATCTATAGAAAAATGTTTACTCAAAAAACAGTATTTGTGAATCGTAAAAAACACATTTAATGATCAATAAATGGGGCGATGATTATAACTTACTAATGCATTTAAGCATTCTCTGAGGATCGACACAGGGTCTTATTAAGAAATATTATCTTTTCAACTTTTTCTGGGACAAGTCGATTTCTCGACTTTGTTATGTAACTTACAGTCCTGTTGATACAAATATTTGTTCTGACGGTACAGAGGTTGTTGCAATGACTAAAAGACGATATACTTAAAGAGTTAGCCTTGGAAAGGTGCTCTTGTTCATAGCCACATCTGTTTTAGGGAATTTTAAATGACAATTGAATGCAAACATTCAAAGCGTATTTTAATTTTGATTAATTTTAATTAATATTTAATTTACCGGGAGGCGCTCTTAATAAAAATATTTGTTTCTTAAGAAGGCAACAACATTCTAACTGAAACCGATTAGTCGAGTATCATTTTGGTAATCCATACTCGGTACTACCGAGCGATACTCGAAAATATACATGTATAAATGATTGCCATGTCACGATCTTTTCAATGCATCTCAGGTTTTTCTTTGGGGATTTTGCCTCGCCTTCTCACAAAAATAAATGAGTATCTCAAAATAGCAAACAATACTCTTATAAATATTTTATAACCGTTGGTAAATATACTTCTTAACTAATTTGATGTTCTACTATCTTTTTCATATCTTGTGGATGTAGATATGTTAGGTAATGATAATGTAATGCCATGGAATATTGGAGGATAATTTTCGTTTGGATACAAGTTAGTATGAGTTTATGTATTAATGTTTTATAGTTAGGGTGAACTTTCTTTTCATTATCACAACCCTAAATAATACAATATTACCGCACAATTAACCTTATGGAGGTTTAATAATTACCATTAGTTCTATTGCAAATGTGCATTATCCCAACACTATCTGATAGAAGTGAATATTTTTATATACCTATAAGACTCTAGTGATAATCCTTTTTAGATTCGAACATAAGTTGGACTTGAAAAATATACACCTCTGCATTTGCTAAATGATGTCCGTTTTGGTTTTATAATTTGAAATTTTTTGGTTGTACGAGAAAAACAAATCGTCAGAACCACACAGACAAATGGTCTATATTAACTGCCTCTTTGAATCTTAATGAAATTGGATGATGATGATGGTGATGATGATGTATACAAAAACATTGAAAAAAACTATTTTTACCCTATATTGTTTTCTCGATTATGAACAGGTTAAGAGTTTCCCAAAATTCCAAAAAGATATGATGTTATTAAAACTTTTACCCTAGATGGCATTTGAATGTAGAAATCTTTCCCTCCAAATGCTTTCTCTTGTTCTTAAACAAAGATTCTATTCAAGATTTTTGACATTCTATGGATATTTTACAAAGTTAATCGCACTAATGTATGAATATAATGCAAATGACTGACCCAAAATGTCGACGAAGAAATATCAAACATATAAAACATGACATTTACAGTGTATATTTTAATATTGATTTGAAATAGTCTTACCTTTAATAATCCACATGTGCATATATTTCAGATTATGATGTTGACGGTTGATTCATACATGTACAATTTTAAATGTCCTGCGCAAGTCGATTCGAAAATTCGGGCGCAAATAAAATGTAACAGCACATTGAAATATTTCTGCTTGTACAACAACGTGGCAGGGAAGTATGTTGAGGGATGTAATGGACCGGACTGGGATAGAAAAGGTTAACTGAATATGGTTTTCCTAACATATTTTCCAGAGTTGAATAGAAGTATATGAGTCCATAAGAATAACCTCACAAAAAACCGTCTTTAACATTTAGTGTGTTTACAATATGAATCAAAGTCAGTTTTTGACAGGTTGAGCCTTTTTGTGTCCTAATATTTTACTAGTGAAGACTTGTATTTTATTTCCAAATTAATACATTGTAGGACAACATTTTGTTGTGGTTTTTCAACTTTGTCAAGAGTCATTTTTATTAACGATACCAGGCTTATAATGTGAAAACTACACGTGCTTTTTGTCTACATAAGTCTCATTATTGGTATTCGAATTAATGAATTTGAAGGGCAAATCAAATATTAAGGTGGAGAGGATTAACAAACCGAAATCCGAAAAATTGTGTCAAATGTGCCTTTGGCAATCTTTGACTGTGAGTAGAAAACCATGTTGTTTCGAATAGTTCAATAATTTATGAACCGTTAATAAAAGAAAAATCCATAAAATATGACAAGGTACCACACTTGTTATCTATTCGTTTGATTTGTATGAGCTTTTGATTTTGCCATTTGATTAGGGACTTCCCGTTTTGAATTTTCCTCGGTATTTTTGTTATTTTACTTTCTTCCACCTTGTTCTCGTGTGATTAAACATTAACGAAATAATCATTAAACTCATCAGGCGCATACCTATGATATTGACAACGGTTTTGGTGCTGAAAAAGCAAGGAAACGATATGAAAACCTAGGGTACTGCCTCGCTGCGTATTAACGATTTTCAGAAGGGGGTATGATGTTGAAAAGGAAATACGACGGTTTTTTTTTAATGTCACTTGCCCTTATTCATATAGTCAAATGCAATGACCATTTCCGTTATGTCCAAATGTTCATATGGCACGGTACATGTACAACACATGAAAACATTAACGATACTTATTTTACTACAACATATGCAAAAAGTATTTTCTTTTTATTATTACTATATTTTTTTACTTTTTATTTCCTTTTCTTGTTACATAATAGGTAGTAAGAGAATTTATGCTGGTGACTTCAGCAGAGAAAAATGTATACAAAAGCGTTACCAACCGTTTACATTTTGGACCAATGAAAGTATGAGTGACTGTATCTACGTTAAATCAATCTGCAGTGAGGAGGGACAAATTGTATACAGGGATAATTCAACAAAGGATGACAGATCATGCCGATGTGATTATAAAAATAATTATTCATTCATTAAAACTCCAAGAAACTTTTGTTTTTGTATTCCAACAGAAGAAGATTGTTCTTGTTATGTTAAATCATGTCCAGGAAATTTAACGTTGTCAGCAGGTATCTTACTTATATTTTGTTTTTTATGATAAATGTATGTACTTTTCTGTAATTGTGTAGTGTTTTACAAAACACATCCTCAGCAAAAGTTTATCAATTAGAAACTTTAATATATAGAATTTGCTACTAGTATGGTAAAATTATCATTTTCTTGCAAGGATCTTTTTTATACGACAGTAAAAGCATATACGAATATTTCAATTCGCAAAACGAAATTAACAAATATGTTGTTTTAGTTTAAGTATATTTGCTTAGTTATATTTGCATGAATGAATGAATAACGAAACACAAAGCGTTATTCAACTATATATATATATATATACTTTTTCACTTTTTTGGTCTTTTGGAAAATGTTGTTTGTGCTGTATTTAGATCCCTCTACCAGGAAATTTGTTTTACATGCACACGTATAAAAATTGCGGTTTTTATCCAACGCAATCATAGGTGTGAACGTTGTTTTCAATTTAGACTTGTATATATATAATATATATATCAAGTAATGGAAAAATCACAAAGAGTAGATTTGAAAAACAATGCAAATTTCACTTGTTCAACGACTGAAAATGTGAAATGTATTTCTTTGAGTAATTACGAAATTGCCATGTTTACGGCGTCTAATACAAATCGTTTGCAAATTCGCAACAACAAATTTGACTTGATTTTTTCTTCTTTTACAAGTAAGTAATACAACAACTATAAATCATCAAAAGACCATCACAACAGAGTATTTCACACTGTCATCTTTTACAGGAAAAAACCGCACAGTTGCAGGAAGGTATATTTGCATGTCTTTTATGTTTATTTCAGATTATGGTTGCACACAAAGCGGTTTCCAGAAAACGCCTCAATGTAAAAATATAACAAAGTAAGATTTTAAGATATTTCAATGGAAGACATGTATTGTTTTTTTCTTTTAAATTATGAGGCATTATGCGTTTAGCAATCACATCAACATGTACATATATAAAGTTAATAAGATATTCCAGGACTGTTTTTAGATATCTTTGATATGAGTTTTTTTTTCTGAATTTCCATAATAAATGGTTGTTGTTTACAATGAACCAAAGGTTACCGACCTGTTATAACTACCCCTTCGAAAATGTTGACGCCATCATGCTTTACATTACTCATCATGATATTGAAGCATGATTCTCACCTAGAGTATCGATAATCGAGAAGGTTCTGCTGACCCTTCCTTAGCACCATTTTAAGTCGGTTTCGTAAAGCTAACTATTTTGGTTTCTGTATAAAGAATACATGGAGTTTTTTAGATATAGAATTATTTCGTCTATTTGTCCTCAATGTTATTAGTTTATTATACCTACTTCGAACCATCACTGACTTTTTAATCTTTTGGCAGAGTTGTTTTGTGTATTCTTTTTTTATTTTTCTGGTGAGTGTTTTCTGATTTGTTTTTGTTGTCTTTTCGTCTGGTTGTTTTGCAATATGGTTTTATGTTTGACTCTGACAAACGAGTTTGTATTTAAATCCCCCTTTTTGTATCGATCAGTTTGACTAACACTCACACGTTAGTTTTAATTGTTAACGATTCTTTCCGTTAATTCATAATCTCTGTGAGCTTAACATGTGTCATCTTTGCGCTGATTATTAACTGAATTTGAACGAGGCATGGTCAGGGATTTAAGTTTTCATAAAGATCATCCACAGAACTTTCCATAATTTTTGAAATCACGAAATAATAATCTTTTTATGCATTAATTGCAAGTCATTTAACCGTATCGACATGTGCCGAACAATTCAAACATTAAATCTATATCATGTATATACACACTTTCACCTACTAGTTACTTAAATCATTAGTATACAAATAAGGAGAGGTGTCTTTAAAGCCAATTCGACAACTAGAAATTAAAGGTCACCGTACGGCCTTTAACAATGAAAATTATCAAAACCGTATGGTTAGCAGTATAGGCCCCACGAGAAAACTTCCAAACAATTCAAGTACTAAAATAACATCAGTTCATTAATCCAGAAGGCCAAATTTAAAACAACTATCACTAATCTTAATACATGTATGTATGTAAAATAATTGATTTGTAGATATAACAAAACCGTGGATGAAAAATCGGGAGTCTGCATGGAAAATAAACACTTGTGTTTAAGTAAAACAAGTAAGTTGAAAAATTTTTGGCAAGAAAGAGTCTTAATATCATGTTTTCAACTCGACAATTGACTTAATGATTTTATTCATATTGTCTAATGAATTATTAACAAAAGTCAAACAATTACACAAAGTATTTTTTTGTTAGAAATGACGTGAATAGTGAATCCCAATATCAACACAAAAACGTGATCCAGAATAAAAAATTTTGCGCTAATATTTCGCATTTTGTTTTGAAATCTTGAATGAAATTATAATTATAATTTAATAGTGAGCAAACTTTAAATAAACTCATCATAGATACCAGATTTTTTTTTTCGCAAGACGTCTATGAAGGAATCATCAGTGACGCTCAAATCCACAAAGTTTATAAGGCCAAACAAAGTACTATGTTAAAGAGTATTGAGGACCCACAATTCCGAATGGTTTTGAGGATTACAGCTAAGCTAAACCTATTCCTGTGGTAGAAAATAATCCTAAGCATTTCGAAAAATTCTAAATTTTGATAACAGTAATTCTATAAGTATTACCATATCAATAATAAGTAATGTCAACACAGAAGTCCTGACTACTTGGATGATGATTACCTCAGGGAGAAAATCTCCACCAGCAGCATTTAGAAAATTTTGGGGTTGTAATTATAATCTTTATAGTTACCTGGATTACAATTGTGTACGCCAGACGCGCGTTTCGTCTACATAGGACTCATCAGTGACGCTCGAATCAAAAAAGTTAAAAAGGCCAAAAGAAAGTACGATTTTTTAGAGCATTGAGGACCCTAAATTCTGAAAGGTTTTGCCAAATACAGCAAAGTATATATATTCCTAAGGAAGAAAATCCTTAGTATTGTGAAAATCGACTAGCATAGAAATATATACATCTTAGTATGCACACGCAAGGGTTCTGAACCAGAATCAATAAACCGATATCACTATACAATTGTGTGTGCATAAAGTCTTCAGAGATTTGAGGCTATATAATATCATTCTCATGACGTCCATTTATCGCATCATTTAAAATATGTCTTGTCTTGATTATACGTTGTTGTGGAGTTGTTAGTATTTTTCACATTTCCAGCTTCCGAGTTCAAGAGGAATGCTAGAGCTGCAGCTACGGTATTAGTTAGCCTGTTCATCATACTCATGCTTGGTAAGTCCATTATAGGACACTTAGATTGTAACTTTTCTTAAAATATAAAACCCCAAAAAAACATACTTAACAACTGCTACTGTCAAACAATTGATTTTATTTAATTTCATACCTAATTTCCTCCTCAGTAATTTGAAAGATGTTTTGATTATCATTATTATTCATTGAGAGTTTGAGTAATCCTGGTGTGTGTTATATTGTTCAAAAACTGCAAGAAAAAAAGATGAGCTAACATATGTTTTAGTCACTTAAAGTGAATTTTTTTAAATTACATGGACTGATATAAAAAAAAAAATGTATCCAGCTAAGATACATGACTTGGTAAATTACCATCATGTAACAACATGAGATTTCCTACAAAAAAATCAGTTATAATTTTCTTAAACTTAGTATGATATATCGATTTATTGGCACCGCTATAGTATCAAGCACGGTGTCGTGTTCAAAATATGAATATATTACTTAAAATGAGTCATTAAATGTTGATGATCAAATTGTTCCATGTCTACGTTTGCATGCTTTAATAATTGACTACATCAAATGTATTTTATAAATAAGATCAATTCGTCTTTCTACAAAAACAAAACTACTCTAAATAATCCCGTGTTGAGTCATCACTGAAAAATCCTAACTGGAAAATCGCCATGGCGTCATGTTGGACAATGTATGTGACAAATGTGTAACTGATGATTCCATATAACCTAAATATGGCAAATATTAATTTACTTTCATTCTTTTTAATAAATATAGTTAAAGCGGCGTTATGCAGCATTTCCACATAATTCACAAATTTGAAGTTTTCCATAGTTTTTAAATTTAAAAATTACAAAGGAAAATAACAAAAAATACATTGGGATTTTAATAAAGTATAAGCATTGTGTGCATACTGTTGGGCTGGACGCCTTTTATTTAACCATCGACCTAAACAAAAACTAGCACGATAGGCATGCAAACCCGATATGAATATATTTATAGTCAATTTTAGTTATCTCAAAGTCAGCCGGACCGGCGAAAAATTTCAAAATACCCTTAGTTCGACTCAAACGAAAAACGAAAGTTTGACAGACCATTAGATACAACCCTTGCTGAGCTTGGCAAGGATCGATATCTGGTATGAGATCGAAGTATCTGTGTAAAATTAATTATCTATTATTATTACAATGAAAGTATGTTGTTTTGTCTCTTGTTATTTCTTTGTACAGTAATAATTTTTCCTCTGATTTTCGGCCGAGATAATAATTATTTTTACATTGTTTCAAAGTCATGTTGAAAGAAAACAATAAAATCCTGAATTAACATAAGTAAATAATATTTCAGATCTTAGAAATTTTATATTTCTTTTCATTTTTTTTTATTTCGATCTTTTTCGGGAAGTGAAAAGATTGAAGACACCGATTGGGTAGCTTTTAGCTGCTCACTGAATCTTCATTATATGCACATCATAGCTCATTAATGTATCATCACGGTTAATTGGGTATTAAACATTTTATATCAGTTTACATAACATATAACAATGTTTCGATATCATTATTTATAATGGTGATAAAAAAACATCTTAAGTAAGCACTCCGTGTGAAAAAATTGTCATAAATCAATACAGTGGTCAATTACGGGAAATTTAATTACTGTGTAACAGTTTCAATTCATTGAAATCACGAGGTCATGTTTTGTCATATGTGTGTTAATATAAACTTGGTGAACTATGGTGCATTAAGGTTTGAAACTTTATTAAAGGTTTATGAGAGAATCAAATACAATAGGAAAATTTAAGACACCGTTTTGAATGCCAAACTTTGTTGCATAAGCAACATTTGGTATCCAACAAAGAGCCTAGTTTTTAAAATGTGCACCTCACAATCTTGCAACTTATTACAATATAATTAATAATATTATAATCACATAGTAATAAATGTATAACCATTGGAAAGATAAATCTTTCTAACTTTTTCCCCTTCTATATATATTTCATTCAGAAAACAATATATTTGTTTAAATGAGTCATTTAAAGTGGGTGATACAAAATGTCCATGTCTTCGTTTGCATGCTTTAAAACCGGACTACATCAAAGGTATTTTACTTTGGGCGGTATTTTGACTTCCAATATATTTGTCATCAACTCTATTTTAAAGATGGAAATGTGTTTAATTTGATGAAACAGAATAATTTCTATTAAATTCTCACCATTAATATGCACTGCAGCGAATCAGTATCTATATCTGTACACATCTTAACTAGGAAAATAATTCTTATTCATTTTCTAAATCAGATTCGTGCTTTCGGAAGAGAGTTTCTAAAAATTCCTTCACCAAAGTTCCATTTAGTTCAAAACATTTCGCCTTTTGAAAAGGATATAAGCGATCAATAGACATATTGTATTTTTATATTAAAAAAGCATCAACATTTTCCCATGCAAACTCATCTTCTAAATTCATAGTAAAAGCTGCAAGTTTTGACTACTTTATACATGTTCCAAGAAATTGACTGTTTACGTCGTTTTAATTGCAACAATGATTGAGTCTTTATACTGTATTATCGCTGAAATACAAGATCATAAGATTAAAATATCATCAAATTTTATAACTTGTTTATCGCAAGACATTAACATACTAGTACTTCAAAATTGTTTCTACAGTTTAGAAATAAAACAAAATATCAATCCGACATAATCGTAGCTACACTGTAGTAAATAAAACACAAGGAACAAAACAAAAACAAAATCAATATGACTATAATAAACCAATGGAAAGAAACAGAACAATTTCAAGGATAACTGTGACATTCAACAATTTGATAATGTCTTTGGTATTATTTTCGTTCAATAAAACGTGTAAAAGAGGGACGAAAGATACCAGAGGGACAGTCAAACGCCATGGCCAAAAATAAAAATACAAATAGACAAATAATAGTACAGATGACACAACATAGAAAACTAAAGACTTAGTAACACGAATCCCACCAAAAACTGGGGGTGATCTCAGGTGCTCCGGAAGGGTATGCAGATCCTGCAGATAATGCGTCAACCTTGCTATTTATAAACGGAAAAATTAACCATTATATATTAATATTCATTCTATCAGTTACAGGAGGGTTTTTCTGTGAAGTTTTCCATGGTAAAATACTACAACGTTTGGATAGATACGTTGAGAAAACCAATACAGGTAGCTACATTCAAATATGAGAAATTGAAAAGATTTCATTATTTACATTTATAGACTATAAAAAAGACGTTGATTAATATACTCATCCTTTACTGATCTGAGTAGATATTCTCTATTTTGTAGATGATAAAGAAATGTATGCGCTTTTGTAATAGTTTCAGTGTGATATTGTATTCAAATTTTCATTTTAATCTTAACATTCTTAAATCTGCCTTTGACACATGTACATTACTGTTTCATTATGTAGTATTTTCCCAATACCAGTATGACACTTGAGGTGCAAGCCCACTCTTGGCTTAAAGTTCTGTTTACAACTTGTGTGAATCATTAACGTCATTGTTGACTGAATCTACGTATTTCAAGTTTCAGTTCCTTTATCATACCCCGGGTTTCATTTCCATCGTAATTCTAATACATTTTCCATAATCAAAGCTGTAAAAAGGACATTAAGTACAAGCTTGTCCTCAAACGTACCTTCTAAAATCGAAGTGGATACGATCTTGATCAGTGTCAGATACAATCCGGCCTGAGTTGGTCTCAAAGATTTGCTTTAATTCACACCTTTATCGAGATAAATGCTACAAAATAAAAAAACTGCAAAGATATCTAATTTTATCCTAAATCTGATTTCCGAGGATCGAGTGTTTTCCGGTCTTTCCGTCAGTCCCGTATCATGTTTAGAGTTTGTTAGGATTAGTTCTGCATTAATTTGTTGTCATATCAACTTTAAACTAAGTAGACATGTTATAATGTTAACGTTTTAAGTGTTTGCCAAATTTGCGGTTCATTGATATTGAAATGTTCGAGGGTAAAGTTTTGGCTTAATGACATTAACTGATATCTATTTTACTGCAAAAAGTAGTCTGTCATGACGTGATGGTCACATCATCTTGAAACTTAGTACACATGCTCGTCATGATATGAACTGTTAAACTATATGCGAAATTATGTTTTGACCAGATTTCATAGTTTGCAGAACATGAAAATATGATAGTGAAAGTAGGGCAAAGGGCATATGAAGTGTTCAATAAATGACAATTAAACATGAAAGATAAAATTACACTTTCATCTTCTGTCTTATTGTTCTACGGTATGCGTTCCTTCTATGGACTTTATTTAAGTAAAAAATAAAATAACAAAAATAACGAACTCCAAGGAATATTCTAATCGGAAAGTCCTTTATCTTTTAATGAATGGCAAAATCAAAAGCTCAAACACATCAAACAAATGGTAAATAACTGTCATATTTCTGATTTGGTTCAGGCATTTTCTTATATAGAAAATGGTGGATTAAACCTGGTTTCATAGCTAGCTAAACCTCTCACTTGTAAGACAGCCAGAACATAAAGATTATCATTTATTTAAAGGTGAATATAAAAATTATACTTTATAAATTTGGTTCGTCCAAGACGCATTTCGGGATTAAGTCTCTCCTTTAAGGTTCAAAACCAATGGAACCAAATTAAAGTATTCAGTAATATATCATTTGATTCTTTTCAGATGGTGGTAAATTGAAAGAGAGAAAAACACAGTTAGATATAGAAGTACACCAAATATCAAACATTGGTAAATAGGTTAATTGTATAATATGTTTCAATCACAATCATTTTTTTCATTTTTACTCGACTTTTTTCTTTTAATAAATACTAAAGTGTTTTAGTCTTATTTGAATCTTAAATCTTAAACGCTGATTTTGAATGTAATGTTTTCCAGCTGAACTAGCAACAGAAGAAGTTTACTTTTTACGAATGATTCATATTCTGTTCAGAGTGGCATGTCCAGTTGTTCGAATGATATTTAACTACGAGATTCATCCAAACCAGTTACAACATACCCTTGATAAAAACAAGCGACAAATTCGAAAACACTACGGAAAAGAAGAAGATGATTATAAGTCGGATCTTTTACTTAAATACGCCAAAGGTACAAAGTAAACGTAATTGTCAATAACTCATAATTCCATTGAATTTGTAAGCTAGAAAGAAAAAAAAAATACATTAAAACCAAATTATTCTTCTACCATTGGTTTTCCATCGTACATTAGTATTAAACATACCAACAGATTAACATTTGTACAGAATGCATACAGATTTCTGAATGGTTATATACATTTAAATAAATTTGAAATCGTTAAAATACTTCAGATTTAAGTATTTCATTTTTTTGTGCATTTGATTTGTATATCATGAACGTTAATCCCAACTCTTGTTAATTTCAAATGATATTATAACAAAAAATGTTGTATCCTTATTCTTAGTATTACTGTGAAAGTACTTTTATTCATGGGTATACGATTTTCGTGGTTTTCGTAGAAGGCTTTATCCACGAATTCAAGTATTAAAAAATCAAGACGTGGAATGATCCCCATGCAGGTTTGGTAATATGAATACGGCCATATAATCTAGAGAGAATACATCTAAAATCAGGCAGGATTTTACTCATTTAATCTTTAAAAAATCCTTGACTTTACGACTTTGAACCTTTTTATTATGATAATAAATTAGTTTTGATCGATAAAAGTCAGATTTCCGGTGATGTTGTGCGATGATGAGGTGTTCATTTTATCTCCTCGTAATTTTCATACGGAAAAAAATTAATAATTGCATATTTGGTATGCTTTTCATGATAATTAATTCTACAACTTAAATAACATGGCTTTAACGTCTTCAGTCAATATATTTACTTCAGAAAACTAAAATCCACGAATTTAAGAACCCACGAACATGTAACTTTTGCTAAAACTACGAAAATTGATACCAACGATAAAAGTACTATCACAGTATAACAATATGACTGAACTATTGACGGACATCACACTTCATACTGTGCACATGTATGTCTTTGGAAAATTATGACAGGTGATTCATTTGTAAGAGAAGATGCTTAAGATGTCAGAGCTCCTAAACATGATCTCATTTGCATAATCAAGACGTTACTTTTTAAGTTAGCTCTTTAAAATTGTCGAATCAGCTCGTCAATGTTTTAATAGGTTTTTTTTTAATATTTTTGTCTCGAGCATCATTTAGGGCATATTAGTTTTCGAAACACGAATCTGATTAAAGTAGGTAAAAGAAACATTACATACCAAATAAGATTGCCATGATTGCAGTAAGATTTATACCATTTAATGTAATTCTGAAAAAATACTAAAACACACCCGCGACATTGCGTGTCCGTGACTGAATTAAAGTAACTACGCCTTATTTCAATCCTGGATGTTTGGTATTCGTATTTTCATATGATAAAGTCATGCTGATCAAGGTGTACAGTTTTCTCTGCTTTCAAAATCTTCCTGTTTGAACCCGTCCTGATTTTCTTACTACAACCGGAAAATTCATGTGACAATGATTGTATTTAGTGGTGTTATTCCCTATATAATGACGAAGTTCAGGTGTGATTACGACCCGTGTTTATAGCAAATCCCAAAATACACTGTTCGGTGGTGCGCCTGGCAGGGATGGAACCTACAGATTAAGAACAGGAATCAGATGACATATACTATTGGAATCGATATCGGATTCGGATTCGACCCGGAACTTGTTAAATATTGGTAATATTAATTATGTGGGAACCAAAAGGGCCTGGAATGGCGTAATTTTTAATCAACACCATTGTCCTATATTAGTTATATACAAAATTGAATTATTTGATTCGTCGTTTTTCCGTCATGCCGGCTGACAAATTGCACCTCGCTATTTCCTATATGTTCCTTATGTCGTAACTACAATACCCTCCCTTTTCACGAATGTGACTTACCGAATTAGACTATTTACCGGATTTGTAATAACATAAGCAACACGACGGGTGCCACATGTGGAGCAGTATCTGCTTACCCTTCCGGAGCACCTGAGATCATCCCAAATTTTTGGTGGAGTTCGTGTTGCTGAGTCTTTGGTTTTCTATGTTGTGTCATCTGTACTATTAGTTGTCTGTTTGTCTTTTTATTTTTGACCATGGCGTTGTCAGTTTGTTTTCAATCTATGAGTTTGACTGTTCCTCTGGTATCTTTCGTCCCTCTTTTTTAATATTATTGATATATAACCGACACAAACGTAGATAAATTTTATGTACGCGATTATAGTTATTTGTTTATTTTGAAATTATTTACTGTAAAAGCAGAAATTTTCGTGGAGGATTTAATTTCGTTTATTTCGTGGAAAGAATATATCCACGAAATAAACGAAATTAAATCCTCCACGAAAATTTCTGCTTTTACAGTAAATAATTTCAAAATAAACAAATAACTATAATCGCGTACATAAAATTTATCTACGTTTGTGTCGGTTATATATCAATAATATTAAAAAAGAGGGACGAAAGATACCAGAGGGACAGTCAAACTCATAGACTGAAAACAAACTGACAACGCCATGGTCAAAAATAAAAAGACAAACAGACAACTAATAGTACAGATGACACAACATAGAAAACCAAAGACTAAGCAACACGAACTCCACCAAAAAATTGGGATGATCTCAGGTGCTCCGGAAGGGTAAGCAGATACTGCTCCACATGTGGCACCCGTCGTGTTGCTTATGTTATTACAAATCCGGTAAATAGAAATAGAATATATCCACGAAATTAAAACCCCCTCGAAAATTTAACCTAAATATAAGATCACTTCCAAATACTGGAAACCACGAAATTAAATCCTCATGAAATCTTATATAGAGACAAAACCACGAAATTTAAACCCCACGAAAATTAATGTTTCTGCAGTAATTAGACGATTTGAAATGACTTCAATGTACTACTATTTGCGTATTGATATAATAAGATCCTAATTTGAAACTGCCATTGCAAAATTAATCAAGTTAGCATTTGCCGTTAATACGTTGTGCCCACTAATTTCCTAAACACAAATTTAATTCCGTGCAATTATGTACAGAATTAAATATATAAGAAATCAAACAACAACAGTAGGTAGCCAACACATACTTGGAATCTAATGGTATGTGGTACCAACTTGAAACATGATAATTTTCGACAAAACGATTTTTCAAGTACTATGTATGAAAGTAAAATATTAAATGACATACTGTAATGCATTGTTTTCTTTTGATTTTTTTGTTTGTTATCGTTATTTTAGGAAAAACAGTTACATCAGCAGATTTTAATATAGGACTCATGATACACCTCTTACATTTACTTGCAAACATAGAAGTTTGCAACTTATATCCATGTCCAGCTGATACAAGTTTCAGTGCAATGCTGTCCAGAATTAAATTTATATATAATGAAATAACTCCGATATTTAAAGGGAAACTCTCAGAAGATCAGTTCAATCAATACTGGGATGATATAGGGCAGGTAAGATATTATCTTATTTTTCTGGCGTTTTGTTGTAGTTTTGTTTTATCTTTTGTTGCTTTCGATGCCTTAATATGATTTCACTGATCAAAAGTGTTCAACAAAATGCTTGTTTGCACAAAAGAAAACATGTCGTTTTTTAGGACTTTTAAACCATTTGTTTTGGAAAAAGCCCTACAGAGTAAATGTTGATTTTTTTTTAAAGCACAATGCTTTAATTCTTTATGCATTAATAATGTGTTTTTTTTTTCATTAGGACTAGTAGGAATTAATAAAGGCTTTAGATAATTTCATAGTAAAACCCTCTAAATCCGTCATTACACATCTTACAACAGGCTGATAAATAAGTGATGTCCTATGTATAGTGTTGATAAAAAAAAATAAACCCTATATAATAAACAAAAAATGCAAAATGATACATATGTTATAAACCAATGTTTCAGCAATGCAAGTATGAAATTTTGCCTTTAAGTTTTCACTTGAATTCAATCAATATCAATTTTTTTGTACACTTTATATTATTTAACAAGACTAAAAAAATACTGAAATAATAAATTCTTATATTTCATATCTTAATGTTCTTTTGACAAGAAATTTTAATGATTATAGTCTATGAAACGAGTCACTGTATTGCTGGAAAATTACTTCACAAGGGTTTTCGATTTCACACACTTTGTACGAAATTGTATTATCGGTACAAGGACATCATTCGTAAATATAAATTAACGCGCATACACCTTAAACGTTAAAGTATTTTACATCCCATCTTTTATGGTAATATTCTATACAAAGCACAAAAATGTCGTCATTCACATTAAAGCTAACCAAACAGACTTATTCCCCAAGGATAAAGTTACGATACTGTTGTCAAATCATTCAAGATGGCATTTTTTGGAATTGACATTGATTCTCTCTCATGGTCTTGCATCGGATATAAACACAATTATCCTAAAACTAGTTGTTGGCATGATACGGGTCATGAGCTTCTCGTATATTAATGATGACATAATACTTAATCCCTCACGGGAGGGATTGTAATTTATTTTCATTTGATGACGAAATATTCGTTCGATCAGTTCAATTGAGGTCGGGATCTGGTATGTCAGTAATTATCAGTAGCCCTTTGTTAATTTATGCTGTTATTCTGTGATTGATGATCGCAAATTAATTCATTTTCGTGTTTGGTGCTCATTTTTACCGGACTGTGACCTTGATAAACAATCACTACAAAATCGTTCAGCACATGAAATAGATGAATTGATAGAGAGATGTTAATTTCTTTTTTTTATATTTCCACGCGTTTCCATTTGTAAACAAAACTTTGTCATAACAGTAGTCCAATGATGTTTTGGAATAATCTGTTCTTCCAGAATTAGTTTACACTATTTACCTTTGGGTGCATGTTTCTTTACATTCTTTTAATCACGCTTTTTTCGTGAACTTGCGATGTGCGGTTGCCAACATTCTAGCGAGAGGTCTCGTGTTGAAATTCACTGCATAAGGGAAAGTCTATTGGCTAATTAGAACACTGGAAGACAATAGCTGAAAAGCAGTACATTTCTGAAGATTATCATAAGAGAAAGGATTTATAAGTCCATATAAAATTGTCTAAAAGAAAAACTTAGGCATTCAAAAATAAAACATATTCAACTTTTATTTTAAATTAAAGTTTCAAATAACTTTAAATCCAATTATTAATTACTTACAATGGTAAAGCACATTGGTTTCAATACATAGCTCATATTATTTTTGACATGCAACATATTATGTTATGTAAAATACTGTGCCTCATTTAAAAATATGTATGATGTGTCATGCTAAAGTTATGAACCTACTGAATTAAGAGATTAACGATGGTTACATACTTCAAGACAGTTACCCTAATCCTGAACCTGTACCTGTCCATGACTATTAAAATCCACCAAAAGTGTCAAAGTCAGCAACATGAGACACCACGGTCATAACACCCTTTAATATAGCATCAAAATATTTAGAAAAAAAAACCGTCTTGTGCAGCAATGAACGCTTCTGATATATATTGAATGGATCACTTGTGAACAGTCAACCTTCCTGACTTCTGATATATAAAAGAATATGCTTTTTTTTGTTATTAAAGAATAGGAATATGAAAAAAAATAGGAATAATATTTTAAATAGAGGAACTTTTAAGCATACAACAATGAACTTTACTTACCTACAACCTTGATATTAAATGGCGAAAATGACTAGCTTTAGATATGATATGGTTACAGCATGCTGCATGTACACATAACTTTTAAAAGTGATGAATTTCTTCAACGCACAAGCTTGGTATCGGGATTACTTTACGTAGAACGAGAACTCATTTGACGTGTTTTACATTAATATTTTGGCTTTGAAGGTAAATATGTGACTCACAAGCACAAGTTTTATTTCATTCGTAAAAGTCTTGATTATTTTTGTCGTAAACCACGTTTCAATGATATATATAACCTTTCAACACACGACTGCACATTTTATTAATATTATTCTTGTTTTCATTAAAGCTGTGTACCAACTTTTACGGATACAGCTTTCTCATAAGAAGCCACAAATACTATAAATAATAGATTCAGGGTTATAATAAACATATGTATAAATTATAATTCACAATTTTCCGGAAATATACATTGTATCATTGATTTCCCGTATATCATTAAGTTACTAATAAATTGTTCTAAATGATAATACTATAGCAAACTTTTGATTTAATTGTTGTTTGCTTTACGTCTAGTGGCAAACAGTCCATGCATGTTCATGACAAGAACAAAATTAACAATCAATAGAAGAGGTAGGTCCTGCAATAGATATTCGACCAGGTGATTTGCAGGAAGTTTAGAATGTTATTTGAAACTAAGGGTTTATTATATACGGACAGACATAAAGTCTTGCAACAGGCCACCTACAGTGTTGCCAGGGGTGTTCACGTACAGAGAGCTTGACACTCTCTATACACAAGGCATTGGATTTAACGTCTGAATTCATCCTGGACGAGGCTGCAAATTTATAAACAAATGAATGCCCCACTTTGGAATAAACTTAGATTGACTTTATTTACCCAAAACAAAAATTATATATGTTTTGAAGAAACAAACATAAACGCAACAAAACCATTTGGTAGTAGTAGGGTTTCATCCGTAATTCCGCAATTATTGTTTGCTTTAAGATCAATGGCAAGTTTTCATGAATATTCGGGTAGCAAATTATACAATAATTCAATAGCCGATCGCAATTTAAACTGTTCAATCTAGTTTTGTAGGGAGAGATTTCTGTCTTGCAATACCCCAAACAACATTACTACTGCTACTTATGAACAAATTGCAGATCGACCGTCAAATATTCAGGAAAATGTACAGAAAAGCTACTTGTATATCCTCATTTCCCCTAGCATGGACGAGTCTCAATCGGATTCAAGTTTAATGATAGATTATCAGTCCCAGACTGACATATACAAATAACAGTTACTTAATTGCATCGAAAAACGGACCGATTAAATGACAGTTACATGATTTAATGTTAAGTTAATAAAAATGTTAAGTTCCAATAAACATCGTTGGGTTGTTTTATAAAACTAAGGAATAAATTCATATTTTCAAACTTCCGATTTTCAAAATAGATATTTTTATTTCATAAGCAAACCCTATACAAACTTCATTTACAACCGACCATAGAATGTCCTGCACAAGAACTTTTTGCTATATAAATTTGGCGTCTTTTATCCGTCAGTATTCAAGAAATAGATTCTTAAAGACCAGACCATAAGAAAAACAGTAAGTAAATATTTTTAAACATCGTGTTTATATACCTTTTCCTATCAAACAGACCCAGATGCATAAGGTTCGTTAGTATATTAATGCAAATGTTTATTTAGGTTTTAATTTAGTAATTTACCTACGCTAAGAGACATGCAAATGCGAAATTATTACAATGCACTCTGTCCAGTCCCATTGATTTATAAATTCTATTTTTCTTTTTGTTTTAAAGAAATAAAATAAAAACAATGCCAGTAGACTTCAATAGATATAATCGTACTTAAATAGTATAAAAGCAACATATTCAGGATCAGGTAATGTAGGTTTGATTTAGGGGCCTCTTCCTATGTAATGAGTGGTAGCAATGAGCCACAGGCATAGGTCTATTTTCGAGCTTAAAAATATATAACTAGGCTGAGAAATAAAGATGAAATATATCATAAGATTGTTGAGTAAATTTAAAGATTCTGAAACTTATATGATTTCAATATTTTTCCCTGATGCAATTAAAACCACAGTCGGAAATAAATAACATAATAACATATTTATTTTTTCTCCATGAAATAGCGTAATCATGATAGGTCCTCTGCTGATGGACTGATAGTCCCCGAGGGTATCACCAGCCTAGTAGCCAGTACTTTGGTGCTGGCATGAAAATACGGATTTTATGTTATTAAAATTTGCTGTAACAAAATTTTGGAAATTATTTAAAATTAAGTATGTTAAGGAATGTATCTCCCTCATGCAAAGCTCTGATTCCTTGCCCAGCTTTGGCTATACTTTTTTTTTCCTTTTTTGTTTATAGCTCTTCATATTTTTTAAAAAGCTTTGGATTTTCAAATATTTTGGCCTCGAGCATCACTAAAAAGACATTGATTGTCGAAATGCGCATCTGGTGCAGAAAAATTGGTACCGTTTATGTTAATACAGGTGTATTTTTTGTCAAAAGATACAGGAAATGGGTATGTTTTTTTTTCTTTTATTCCAAATAAATAAAAAAAGTGGGGAGCTGGATGTCTCAGTTGATCATTCCTACCAGAAATGATTGAAGTGCCCTTCCCCCCGCTGGATCTATAAATAGGCAGCCACTTTCGGTGGAAATGGGGACTTAAATCGGATGCTGGTTGTAGCAAGAGTGTTACGTTCCTTTCTCGTTTAAGAATTATTGGAGCAACTCCTTGATGATGATCTGCACATGACCTGGTACCAGCTAAAACGTCTACCTTCCCAACATACTATTTTTCAATGGCAGTCACGCAAATATACTATCCTTCATACTTGTCCTATTTTACAAAAACCTACATAGTATATTGATTATTAAAAGTGTCTGAACCTGAATGTTTGAAATAATTGCCATTGGACTTTTAACAAGAAAAAATCAATGAATTATAGTCGATCTGTCAATTGTATTACTTGTTGATTTGTTTTTATCCTTAATATGCATGTAAAATTTGTCACTGAACTGGACGTTAATCAATCAACCAATCTTTTTACATACGATTGTGCTCAACACACCCAGTTTGCAATATACAGATCAAAGTGTGTAATGTTTGCCTCGTATGAATGAGGATGTTTTTCATCAACTTTTAAGCAATCTGTTTTTTGTATTTACACTTTGCTATTTCGTCTTTACACTTATTCATCACTTTTCTTTTCATTAGATTTTGGTATCATCAGTTCTTTGGGAAGAACCCGCCTATAAAAAAAAATACAATCGCTAACCAATTTTTTAGAGAAGGTCTGTTTATAAGGGGATGGGTAGTCATTCGACTCCTTTTAATAATTATTGTTATTTAGCAACGATTTTTAACCTAGTTTCGCTTTGGTAGAGCGAAATCGCCAACGGCAAAATAAGATTTACACACACATTAGACGATCTAAATCAGTATGGATCCTAATAGGCGTTATTGTCATTTTATGACAACTTAAGTCATCACAGTTTTTGTGATTCCAGCAAAACAAGATAAACTTAAATCAGCAAAGATGATCTGCAAATAAGTCAATATGACCGAAATCGTAAGTCGACTACACAATAAGAGTAATTGTCTTTCAAAAGCAAATGCACCCATTTTGCTTTTTGTGGGAACAATGATAGTCATATAAATGATTGTTTATTGCTTAACCTGTAAACGATAGCGATTTAAAACAGTCTTCAAATAAGTCACAAGGCTGAAATTATCAGTTACCTGATGACGATTTTTACCCATTTCTTTTGTTTTCAGCTAAGACATTTGAAGATAGGAAGAAACTTGAAACAGAAAAAAACAGTCAGCAAGACAAGGTTTACAATAAAGCAAAACGGACAAAATCGTCAGTTGATTTATTTATAGAAGTTATTGACCTTAATTTTTTTTATCCGTGTTTGCCTTTTCAAAAACTGTAATAGATAAAGATACTCTGGAACGTACACAAGATCTGCAAATGAGTCAACATGTATGACTGTGATCCCAATTCGGTTTAATCTAAAGTTAATGTAAAGTCATTGTCCTTCATTTCCCCCGGTTTTACACACCTTCCTCTAGCTTAGCTGGAGAGGATACACTGTGTTCACATTACTTTTTAAATGGATTTTAAGGTAAACATCATAGGTAGTACTTCAATAATCCGACAACACTGTTAACAGATATTGAGGTTAATAAACGGGCTGCTACAAACCGTGTTTCAAAAGAAGCTACTAATACCATTAAATATACACGGTTATCACGTGTTTGCTGTTACCCAAAAATATTTATAGACGTTTATAGGAGGCAAGATAAAATCATATACATTATTTCAATCTCTGTTTTCAACTTTTCAAATGCTATAAATTTTGCTATCAAATTTACGATTATTACATTAAAATTTGGTAAATACAATAAAAATTTAATTCAGCAGTAGTTGTCAAAGATAAGGGCTAAAAAATTCATGTTGATCATACAAACTCACAACACTTTGACACATTTTTGCTGCCAATTAGTGCGACAATTTTGCTATTTAGGTTTTTGGATTAGTTGGTGAGTGTTTCAGTATTTTGATTTGAAGTATTTGTTTAATTATATATATCTAACCACAATTTTGACAATCACGCTTTTATAGAAGTAGATGTATTGCCTAAAATTAAATGTGAAATTTGATGTTGAAACATACATACTCGTTTGCTACGTACGGATGCAATACTATGAAAAATTATCAGCTAGAGAATATTTGTATACATATATGTTTCAACATAAATACAATTTGTGTATAATCAGATTTAAATGTATGTTAACTTTTGCATGTTCTGCTTTTGATTTTGCTTATTTCATTTTTTCTTGCCTATATTTTTGCATTACTAATATCGGTTATTTTGGTTCTTTCCTTGATTTAAAAAAAATACATCACAGTTATCAATTAACATATTTATCTCGAATATTCGTCAGCCTCTGTAGAGATGTAAAATAGGTGTACTCAAATAGTTGGAATTTTACTATATTTTTTTCACAACTTAAACAAGACCAATACAAGGTCCAGACCTAGGTCACTGTATGTAATTGATTGATCTTGGATGTAAAATGAAGCATAACTGACCCTTCCCTTTCATTGAAGGCAAGAGAACTTTTGACGAGCATTTTCCTTTAACAATGAATGTTGTAAAATTTTAAACCATGGGAAAATCGGAAGTGGCTTCATGGTTGATGTAAAAATTACTTACACGCTGCTACTCATCATCATTAAGCTGCAGACCAAATATCAAATCATTCCCTTACATACAAGCCAAAAAAACTTTAACGAAAATATATGTTGTGCAATGAGTCTTCTCAAATTTCAAACTATCGGCAACAGGATGTAGCTGCACTGTAGATGTAAAAATTGCTTACACGCCGCAAGTCATAGTTATTAAGCTGCAGACCAAATATGAAATCATTAATCTTCGATAGAGGCCAGGAGAACCTTTAGAAAAGTTTTGTATGCAACGTCTTTCGGACGTACGTTTCGGATTCGAATGGTAACTAGACTAGGTAAAAATTACTACTGGAATCTAATTAATTGTTTTGTGCAATTGTTATAGAGATCTTGGGAATCATTTGATATATAAACGGGTTTTTTTCACGGTGTCGATGGATCTTTCTCTCCCATGAACATGAACATGGTGGGTTTGGTCTGATCAAAGCATAAGCAGTAACTCATGAGCCAAGACCGGTACAAATTTCTTGAACAGACATCCAGTATTGACACCTTATACAAGACAACAGATTGTTCAAAAACACCAGAATATGTAGAAATGGTAGAGGAAGTCTACATAATTAAACAGACTTATAACACTCTATACAATAAAGCTTGAACACACAATCGGAAAATAAAAAAATACAATGAATGGGGCATAGTGACATATCTAATGCAGCGATTCAAATCTGTAGTGAACACTTTCGCTGCATTGGTGTGTCGTCGGAAAGACTAATGTATATAACAAAAAAAAATCATTTGGTTTTTCAAGGTATATCTATTGTTACGTTTCTATATTTTGAGATGACCCCTTGTTTTTCGTCAACTGTAATCATAAGTCTTAGTATAATCCTAGGTATAGACATAGTTTCCACAAATGTCTATTAGGCCGTACGGTTACCCATAGTTGTAAACTTCTAAATCATTTAGTCTCTGGTGGAGAGTTGTCTCATTGGCAATCATACCACATCTTATTTTTATATGTCTTCCATTCCAAATTATTTTCAATATTTTGTTTCGATCTATTATGATAAAATAAAAACATGTATGCACTTATTTATACTCATTCATAGCATGCACAGTACATGAATGAAAATGCAACATGACATCAATAACAAGTTCAAACATATCAAATAGAAACAAATTAAAAAAAAACCATGAATTTTTTCAAGAGTATTTACATCAACTCATATGCTATGGGTGTAACATTTGTTCTGTTAATAACCATTGTTGTTTTTTTTTCAAACTGGCGGTACTGAAATTGGTGTTTTCACAAGAACTGGACATTGATACTGACCAAGAGAAGATACGACTTATCGGTAAGATTAAAATACTGTGCTGTCTTAATTGAACACAACGTCTTGACATTCTTAAATAACATTTTACAATGTTTAAAAAAACTGTCGAGAACTCATTAGGTGTTACTAGATTCTTTCTCTTAAAAAAGACATAACTAAGAGGTATCCTCTATGTAACGTTCTATATGAACTCTTGTGGTGTATAAACGGATGGATAGAATACTGAACAAGAAGGGAAGATATAACCATAATTCGGACAAAGCAACATAGCCGATAGAAAAAACTGGCCACCCTATTCAATTAATATTGGAGAGGACAGTTAACTCTATGTAACTTTATATATGACCTACTTATATAACTCGATTAACAAAGTCTCCTAATAAGAATTGGCAGTTAAACTATAATCTAAAATAGGACGTAAAAAACTAGAAAAACAGAAACTGTTCGAAACAAAAAGACTGACCAATCATGAAAATTATTGAGTCCTTAAATTTTCACACCACAGTAAAAATTGCCTTTTTTTAAGAAAAAAAAAGCGAGAAGCAGCTGAAGGGGGAACGGGGCTCTCGTTAGCCTCGACCTTCTTGTCGCGTCCAGTGCAAGGGGAATGTTTTGTATTTAAAAAATATAAGCGATTTTAATCTGATTTCTTAATCTTTTAATGATTTTATTCTTTGGAGTTGTTTTTCTTGGCGATACCTCTATGATACGTTCTATATGAACTACTGTGCAAAAAAGAGTGGACAATATTTGGAACAGGAGCGACGAATCTAACCATAACTTGAAGAAAAGCAGATACAACAGAGCCGAAAGAATTGTTTTAGAGTAATTTTCTAGCCTTTATATATAAACTGAATGATCACTAAAAAGACTTTGTAGCAAAGCAAATAAAAGTTTTGCAAATACAAACGATAAACGCCAAACCCAATGGCCATCCCCCAGAAAATTAAACAATAACAAAACAAAACCTTCATTCCCAAAGTTTACTGCAGCTCCTTTAAGGCACACCTTGTTAAATTGAGTATTCTAGTGGCTGCCCTTTTAGTTTTGATGTTTGGTTTGTTAAAAGAAATCAATACTACTGTCTTACAAATGCATCATTTTAAACAATTGAATATTCATGATAAACTTAAGAATATTGTGCCTCTCTCAATTTATCTGTGTTTTGTTTTCTGAAAAATAGTTGATCCAATTATATCAAAGCTCCCATACAATGTATTAATTTCTATTCTTTATTGCAATTGTCTCTTTGATATCTCATTCCTCTTTTGTATTGTACCTTCATCAGACATATGTGTTTTCAACAAAACACGGAAGAATTGTTAACAGTGTATTATTAACAAAGCATGGAAGTGTGTTTGTAATTTACTACAGAATGATTTTTTTCTAAAAATGTTTATTGCGAAAGTTTTGGGTTCTAAAACCGTATTTCTCGAAAATGAGTACGGTGATTTACATTTTGTTTGAAACTGTATTTTTAGGTTGATATGCATTTGAGTTTCCTTACTATAAAATATATAATATCTAAGTTTTATTAATTTTTCATCTTAACATCTTGTACTGAAATCAAGCAGGAGCTCCAAGAGGGTAGAAATACCTGCCTCCAATGTAAGGGAAATTTTGATTTGTACACTATGATAAATACCTGTACTTCTTTTAACTAGCTTAAACCTGATAAATGGCAAAATTATTTTTTTCAAACCACGACAGGTTATGATGAAACGTTACTTGTCTCGCTTCTTACAAATGTCGAACAATACCAGACAAAATGATATTTTTATACGATGGCGGCAGTAGCTATGCAGAAGCTTCAAACTTTAGAAGTAAAAGACCTGAAAACTGCATATCTTATATATATGTCGTGACATGTTGCAATTTCAAACATGAACAAAAATATTGTACATGTTATATCTTGTACAATGGAAAAATACAAGTTATAACGTGTACAAAAGTACCTCTTACATGTTATAACATGTACAAATTATTGATAAAATGGTTTTAACTTGTACAAAATTTGAATATAAATTTAAATAAAGCAGAATATACATTTGAAATTTATTGAATAATAAAGAACATTAATCGAACGTTCAGAATATTTTTTTCTTTAGATCACAGTGATCACAAAGTTTCAGAAATTTTTTTATTGCTTCAAGGCTTATGTTGGAATAATGCGTTTTCAGGTCATTGTTTGTTTTATGCAGTCCAACATGACCTACAGCAGTGTGACTGTTTAATGTTAGCATACATTTCCTCAATGGCATCAAAGAAGATAACCGGTTCATCTGAAATTTTTATGAACAATGCCCTAATGTTTGAAGTATACCCTCCTCCCTCTTTTTTAACATCCAAAAATCAAAGCAATGTCTACTATGCGTACTCTATAAAATCAAGAGAGAGAAAATGGTTTTCATTGGAAAAGGCGTAATTATAAATAATTTTGGAATTCTTTAATCTGCTCTTCAACATTTTTTGCCTTGATCATAGCTGATGTAAATATTTATTTGTTAAAATATTTGTTGATAATTAAAAGATCATTGCATGAGTCAAATGTCATTTTGATGTTTTAATTTTCTATACTCTCCTTTGAAAACAAGGTATTTTTTGCAGAGGAATTTTTTCCTCGACATACCAATGATTACATTGTCAAATCTAACCTTGTTATCCACTTGCATCTTAAGTCTCAACTAATATGACATATTTTCCTATTGCCTTCTGTGGGGAAACTCACAATTATAATTCATCATGTGAGAATACTGACTAATGTTTGGTGACTACATGCGGGATTTAAAAGTTATTAAATAATTATAAAAACTATTCATCTGGTCATTAACTGTATCAAAAAGGACAAAACAAACTAACATGAATGAACAATAAAGGAAATGATGAAAATATTATTGAGGTAAATGACATGTGAATAGAAACATCACATTTTTTCAATTTTGTACAAGTTAAAACCATTTTTAAGCAATATTTTGTACATGTTATAACATGTACGACGTATTTTTGTACATGTTATAACATGTACGACGCATTTTTGTACATGTTATAACTTGTATTTCTGCATTGTACAAGTTATAACACGTACAATATTTCTGTACATGTCATAACATTTACAAAATCGCAATTTCTACACGACATATATATGCCGGATGTTCTGAAAGTTTCTACGGGAAAATATGCATATGTCCGTTGTCCTTTGTCCTCATTTTCTATGATTCATTGCCTGCTTTAATAAAAAAAGGTATAGTTGTTTACCGTTTGATTTTTTAGTATAAATGAGTGATATAACATGTATGTCAGCGTTCATTTGATCTCGGCTTCGTTTACTTTGATCATTGCTCAATGTAAATTTTCATGATTATGTTTGTGTTTCAGAAGTTATAAAAGAGAGGCGAAAGATACCAGAGGGACATTCAAACTCACAAGTCGAAAACAAACTGACAACGCCATGACCAAAAAAGAAAAAGAACAACAGACAAACAATAGTACACAAAACACAACATATAAAACTAAAGACTTAGCAACACAAACCCCACAGAAAACTGGGGGTGATTTCATGTGCTTCGGCAGGGTAAGCAGATCCTGCTCCACATGTGGCACCCGTCGTGTTGCTCTTGTAAGTACAAACCCGGCAATAAGTCTAATTCGGTAAGTCACATTCGTGAAAAGGGGACGGGATTGTAGTTACGACATTAGGAACATATCCGCTATCATCTGTGAAACGGATATTACATAACGGTCAACCAACTTGTGATGGCGTCCGTCAAATTAACGAAGGGATGATTTCAACTTCACCATTTGGAACTCTTGGTTTAATAGCATTACTATCTGACATTGATCTATGGTTCATTGGTCGATGTTAACTGTACGTCATCATGTCCGCTTCTGATATAATATGAGCAATATTCCAACTATATTTAGTATATAGAAAAAACTCATCATATATAGGATTAAAGTTTTCTACGCCAGACATTTTTTCGTAAAAAAAACAATCAGTGACACTTGAATACTAGTAGTTACACGGCCAAAGAAAGTAAGAAGTTGAAGAGCATTCTAGGGCCCAAAATTTAGAAAGGATTTTCAAAATCCCACTTACTTTATCTATTACTTGAGTAAAAATCTTTAGTATTTCGAAAAAGTGAACGCTCAGTTAATTTATTATTATGGCCATCTCAATAATAGTTCATGTAATCACAAAAGTGCTGACTACTGGGTTGGTGACACCCTTGTTGAGGAAACCTTCACCAGTATATCATCGACCTATTGGTTGTAAAACACCTCATCAGTGACGCTAAGTTACAAGAATTGTTATGTGTAAATGTCTGACTGAATCCCGATGCATTGTTGATTAGTTAACTTTTACTTTCCGTCCTTAGATAAATAATATAAGCAAAAGGTTAACCATCTTTGGATTTTTTAATTATTGTAATGTGTATATGTCCTTCTGGCGGTGTTCAGATGACCCTGACTTATTCTTATAAGGTTATTTTTTCAGGTACTATTTGTCATAGTTTTACTATATTTGGTGACTATATGGATTGATTGTAAACTTTTCATGTCTGGATAAAATGTTTTATCTGATCGTAAACATATTTTCACGGATGACCTGTTCTAGACCTCTAAACTCAACAACAATTTTCAGTTACGCGGGTACGACATTTGAGCGTGGCGTTCTGTTGTTGTAAAAGAGTTTTGATGTGTTTACTTCTTTTTCATTTAATTTAGGTAGACTCTTAGCGGTGAATCCGATAAATATTGATAATACAAAAGTGTGTAAATTTATTGAAATGTCGGAAACGCATCCTGCAATCATACTACAAAGAATTATTTCTGAATATTGCAAGTCTAATAACATAAAATTAGAAGACGTATTGAGAGAGGAAAAACACGAACTTTATCATAAACGAATCAAAACATTCTCCTGCTGTAAATGCACCATCGGTTGCTCTACTTACAATAAAGTGATTTCCGGAAAGCAGTGGGATGCACTGTATGAATTGAACGAGGATAGTGATGTGCATTCTTGTCCATTAAATTTAAGGATCTGCAGCGAACGTTTTGTTCCAAAAAGAATACATACGTGTAATTTGTCAGCGGCTAAAGTATTGATCCTTAATATACCAAATATTTTGAAATATATGATAAGTCGATTATACACAAGTGGATTCGATACGTTCTTGATGCTTAACCAGCATACATTATACCATTCAATGAAGAAAAACAGGTGTTGTAAATGTAAACAAATTTCTTATGAGAATACTGAAAAATCATTAATTACGGACAGAGAATGGACCAATCTATTTAATAAAAGTGATATATCCTGTCTATCAATTTCTAAGGATTGTTGCTGTCAGTACTCAGTAAGAAATGGAATTAATTACTCAGATATAGACAACATTTGTTTGTCCAAAATTTTTCATATTGCTGGACCAATTGCTGTTCTAAATAAAATTGAAGAAAATGCGTTTCTATATTTTCTAAATTGGACTGTTGACGACAAACCCTTACAAAGAGCGATAACAGAACTATCAAACATACTAGTCGATCAAACATTTCGCCGTCGATTTTTATCCGTGTTCTCCTCTCAGTCAGCGACATCAATTGATGCACGTCGATGGGTCTCTAGAAACTTACATCAACAGAAGGTATGTCTTTTTGTTTGATCAAACTCGTTATAAATTCAATAATATTTGAATGTCAAAAACATATCAATCATTTTCCATCCGTTGTTTTACAAATTCTATTAAAATAAAGGATATCATTGTAACAGTTAGAGAGTTTTAATAGAGTTCACCAGTATTGAACATATCGACTCAAAAAGAGAATAGCATTGAACAAAATGAAGAAAAAAAGTATTGGTGTGAAATATTTCCTCACCGAATCTTTATATAGCGTCTGCAAGGCGACATATTTTACTGAAGGAAAAACTTGAAGCTTTACTGTAGGAAAAACTTGACGCAATCGTCGCTCTATAAGGTTTATCTTATTTTATTTTTAAGGCAACAACAGAACAACAACTTCAACTCCTTATACGCGATGAAGGTATGTTATGCTTATGACTAATGATTAATTGTAAGGAAATAAAAAAAGGTATGGCAAATTAACCTTAAATTGATGTGTTTGAGCGTTTGATTTTGCCATTTGATTAGGGACTTTCCGTTTTTAAATTTTCCTCGGAGTTCGGTATACTTTTTAATTTACTTTTTATTGCATATCAGAGCCATTTTAAAACATCTTCCTTTCTTTATTTAATTTAGAATAAAACAGCTTCACGTGATTACTATGACTCTCTTTAAAAACAACGTACCTGTGGCTCTATACTGTGATTTCGATAAAATTTGGTAACTGTTTAATTGTTCATCAAAACATCAATGGGACGAACATTTCAATCCAAGACAGACATTTTTAGATAAATTGGTGGGATGAGCTTGTGTCATCTCTTTACGTCAGTGGTCTGTCTTCCGCCGTTTGTTCTTTTTTATTTTTTATCCACCGAACCAAATCGTTGTAAACTTAGCAGATATGATCATTTTAAAGTCCTTCACAGAATGTTGGTTCCAATCGAATATCAAACATGGCCGCTATGCACAACAATGTTTTCTAATTGGGAAAAATTTGAATTTTCATTGTCTAAAACCTGGAGACCAAATGGAATTCTAATTTGCACAGATGTTCCATAGATGGTCCTCTACCAAATTTGTAATTTTGGTGTCGATTGGAAATCCAAGATGGTCACCACTGAGTGCATATTTAACATCGGGGTAAAATACTTAAATTCTCAGAGGAATGGTTTGACAGATTTGATGGATAATATGCCTAATATGATGGTTCGCTACAATCTTTGTATTTTTTTTTTACGTTGATCGGAAATGTAAGATGGCTGACGCCACGATACATAGGTAACAAAGGAGCACTAGAAACGTGTTTTACTTAACTTCGCATTTCTCTGCATGCCATATTGAATAGTGTGCGTAAATTATCAGGTAACGGTACTTAAAGAAATTTTACTCAACACTGTAATGTATGACACATTGAAATGATATTATGCTTAAATTATCGGATCATGTTCCTAAACAAAACATTTGTTTTTGGTGATGATTCCGAATTTTGTCAAATAATTCCACATACCAACCAATACGGCCATCCTCACTAAACATAGATACACATATATCGTTGTTACATATCATTAGACATGACATTGCAAGTCCTGTTGAGGTGTGTTAATTTTGGCATACCGGTAATGCTATTACCAAAAATAGAAAATTAGTCAAAAACCGTTAAAAAAATCCTCATTGAAATAACATTGCCGATTTGAAACAAAATTTGACTGGAACGATGCTTTGATGTCATCTTTCAAAATCATGTCTGATGCTCACGCTTTCCATGCATTTATGCACACATAGTGACATATCATTCGACTTGAACTGGCAAAAACTTTAGCGGCATGCTGTCATTTGTTACGTTAAGCATTCCAGTAATGACATTTTCCTCAAAAGCCTCTGCGACTAATAATGAAAATGCTGCCAAAAAAAAAAATGAAAATTAAAATTTTTTTTTTCTGAAACTACTTATACGAACCAAACTCTTCTGGAAGAGTCAACGGGTTTCTTTGATATATGTGCCCAAATGAACGTGCCTGCCAACCGAGTTGGCAACAATTTCAAATAAAACTTAACAACAATCTTTAACGCTAAACATATTGATTTTATAAATGTATAGAACATTGTTGTACATCATTCAAGTTTGAAATTAATCTTAACAACATTCTGAATGTGAACCTTGGAGAGAAAAAATATAAGGGAATGGGCCCTCTCTCTCAATATATTAAAGAATTTTCTGAAAAGGAAAACAAGAGTTTGTTTGAAAACATGATAAGCGTTCATATGAAATACATGAGTGTTACAATTCATCAAAAATACCTGTTTTTGAAATTTTATGACCAGGAAATTTATATAAAATGACCGCATCAATCATATTTCTGGTAAACAAAAGAGTGCTTTTGGTGTTTCTGTATCTTCAGTAACAACATTCCAATTAAAACACGCAAAGAGCTATGGGCTTTGTTAGCTTATTAACTGATGACATTCAAGGGTCGCGGCTGTGTTTATAAGAATGAAGCCAAAGGGATAAACAAAACACAAATGGGTCTGAAAACTATTTCCCGTTAACATTTCCTTAACTGCTAAAATATTCAACTATCTGCTGGCTGCATGAAAACATTAAATGGTCAATACATTGTTTCATTATTAATGAGATGAACTAAACGCTAAAAAACTGGTCCAAGATACCAGGCTTTCAACTTTGTTCGCATGTTTAGTCTTCAAGAGAAACTCATCAATGACTTTTGAAAATATAGACCGACAGACCAAATAGAGTTTGAAGTTTAAGAGCATTGAGAGCCAAATACAACTAAAGCCATTGATAAAAATTGTGTGCATGGTGTCTAGATGCGGGTAAACAAGTTCAGATTTACAGAATGTTGGACAGTTCATTATTTTAACCCAACTTGTGTATTCCATACATATCACATCTGTATCACGCTGAAAATACCTTCATTTGTTAGGTTTTTGGTCAGTTGAAATAAATTAACTTTCTTATTAGTTATGTCTAAACGAGTTGATTTAATGTTTCATTATTTTGTTTAACCATTGTTTTTAAAATTATCTTTTTTAATTGTTAGATGGTTTGAGGGTAAAAAGTGTACAGATCCCAAAAGATTTTCCTTTACCTCATAGAACGTAAGTATAATTTTATTGTTTTATCATTTCAAACATATATTTGGGTCATAGCATTCAAAACTAAACACAAACAAACAAGCAAACATCAGCATGAGCAACTTAACTTTTAGTAGAATTTTCGTTCGGTCGGTTTGCACGAGCTAACATTATGAGGATCTCAGATTGACCGGCTGTTGGAAATTTCCAGGCGGAGAAAAATGATCAACTGTCTTCTGTAATCATCTCCAACATTTTTCAACAAGAGTCTTGAAACTTCTCAGAAAGATTGTAAACATGGTGAAGTTGTGCATCTTTTACTTTTTTTTGTGTCAATGAGTTGATATCTCATTCATTTGAACGTAAACAGCAGTTTTTTTTCTGTCATTTTTTTGTAGTAAACAATTCACAGATCTGACTAGAGAAGAAAATAATTTCTTAGTAGTGGTTTATGGACTAACAAAAATTGTGTATCCAGTAATAAAAGATCATTTTGATAGGCAATGTCCTCATTTGGTGTTAAACGAACTACGATTGGAAAGCAACGAACAACAACAAACACAGCATTGTAGAGATGAAAATGAAAGCAGGAAGAGCAGAATACACTCTACCAAGAATCAACAACAACAACTTTATGTACGAAACAGTGAGTTTATTTTCATAAACCCACACTTCAGGAGGTCGTTTGTTAATCATACATGCACATATTGTTGTCTTCATATATTTTTCAAGGTTTTACGGATAGCAAAGTATGAAATTTCAACATCCTATGATCTCGTAGTAAAGATTTGCAGTCAATTATTATTATGTTTTTTTCATTAATTGTCTTCCTACATTCTTGAAGATGCGAAATATTGCTAGATGATGTTTTTGTAGGACTGCAAAATATAACTAAGAGTTCTAGAATGTTGAATATGAATATAACTATTCCGTTCATAAATTATTGCAAATTCTAAGTTTGTTCAAACGAAGAACAGTACAGAAAGTAGTAGATATCAAATAAATCACTTTTTTTTAGTTAAACATAGAAAAAAAGATAAGATTACAATGGTTATATCATCAAATTGGGATAAGTGAAAAAGAGCAAACATCTAAGAATGTTAATCGATCACCTTTATTTAGTATAAAACAAATCTTGGCAAACATAGAAGTACAGACGAAATGAAATATAAATATGTTTATTATAATATATATCAATTTGAGACACTCATGTCATAGGCTAAACTTTTTTAAGAGAACAAATCGGAGAAGCTAGATTTGAAATTGATGATTCACAGTTTGAAACGAAGAGCCAAAGATGCTAGACAAACAGAATATGTCGATCAATTGAACGACATCATGAACATCCAAAGAGAAATTGTGCAAAGCAATAGCGGAGTTTTAATCGATACACGGTTTCAAGATATCTTGAAATGCATACGAAAGGTATGTAAAAACAAAGTCATTTGACCTACTGTTCATAGATAACATTTCAAAATTTTTACCTTCTAGAAATGATATAAAAACGATGAATATTTGATAATACTTATCTATCCTTCGGTCAATATTTATATTAAAATATTGAAATGTTTGAGTTACATGTAGATATCTTCCTAATGTATCAAGAGTAGGGAAATCACATATCTGGTAAAACGGAATCGACAACTTATGTGAATTTGTCACATAAGGTTTTATCAAATAATTATCTATATTTTATCAATTTGTTCTTTTTCATCAGACCTTGAATCAAAATTAATGGATATAAAAAGGATAATGGGCATTTGCATACAAGATTGATATCTGGCACCAATTTTGTTTCTGTTATATTATAAACCACTATTACCCTTTCAGACAGTATTGCATTTTGGAGGAGAATTTTATGAGGAAAAACTAAGAAACCTTCAGCATATAAAAATATTCTAGGTCAGTAACATTGAACTATATTATGGTACAAAATCTTCAAATTATGCCAGAGGGTATATAAAAACCCGACGTGGTAAAGTTAAAATCTATAAAAACATAGAGAAATGCATTGATGCCAAACGTGTATGTCAATTTACATTTACATTTAAAAAGATGGACATTAAATAAATTCGTCCGTTTAGGATGGATCAGAAACAGATGATACATACGCGAATCAAAATATTGATGAAACAGCCTCGCTGTCACCTTAGACAACAATTTTTTTTTTTTTTTTTCGATAGACGAGTGGTGATTAACACGGTATGCTTAACTTTTTAAAAGATGCAGGTGTTTCATTTTACCTGCTTAAGAACTGAAAATAAAAGGCTCTGTATAGACAATTTTGTCAGCGGGATATTTAATACTAATAATTGTTTCTTGTGTTTTTATCTTTATTATTGTCTATGTATTATTAGTTCATGTATTATGATCATTTTATAAGTATATAATCTAAAGAAATCTTGAATGCTCATTAAATTGTATCTTAGTTAATCTAAATAGTACGAACTTATGGAAGAATAACATATTGAGTAATATCAATATATGTGAAGGATCAGCATAACATGTTGCTCATGAAAGAATAAAGATGGGTGATTCAAATTATGTAGAAGTAAAAACTGGTAACTTGAACATTTACATTAAAACTTTTAAGGAAATGTGCAAAATTGTCAACACTCATTTGTCACACGCTGACTTAATAACAATCGATCATTTGCTGATGAATCCAATCGTAAAACTCTAGTAGTGGTCATTTTAGACTTACTATAACAATGATTGAGAATTAATTTTTTGACATTGATACTACCCCTTCTCAGGAAATTCAATGTAGTAACTTAGTCAGTAATCATGTTTGTTGGGTCGTTAGTGAAAAAATGAAGAAAAAAAAAAACGAAAACAATAGTTGCTTACTTTTTACACATTGTGACTTGGATGGATAGTTGTCTCATTGGCACTCATACCACATCTTCTTATTTATATTCCTTGGGGTATTCTGAATAAAATTGTCTATCATTTTTTAAAGTCAGAGGGGAGTATTTTCGCATTTTAAATTACTGAATGCACGTTTTTAAAAACATGAACGAAGGTGTAAAATGAAGAATGTTTTAAGATTTTTAATGCGTGAGGTGTATGATAAGAATTTGTTCGGAGAATTCGCTTGCTTTTGCTGTCAATGTCATCAAGTGAAATCTCTCGTAAAATTTCTTCATGAATAAAGTTTGAAAGAAACGCGATTTCAAACTCTAATTATTAGAAATTTCTTAACGATTAAGAACAACTATGTAAAAATATAAATTACGTATAAAGTTTACGGCAGTCCATGTAGATATCAGAATACATGGTTGAATTTCAATAGACAAAAGTACATTTACACACAATCTTTATGCATTCTTTCCTTTCTCTAATTGAATTTCATTCGATAACAACTGATGAGCACTTATAGAGATAAACACTACTAGTAGTCACCGTCTTCATAACCATGGCATATAAAAATAACTATAAAAATAACTTTTGGTAACGTAATGCCTAAATGATAATATGATTATACTTTATAATTGTTATTCTATAGTAGTCTATTTGACATCACCAATTACTTTCATTTTTTTACATGAACTTCGCTGTTGATTACAAACAGAACTATCTTTAAAACTATTTGCTGTTTTGAGTTTGTATCTATCCATCGCTTGAAGCAACTTAAAAACTTGAAACGTTTCATCTGTTGTACCTTCAACTGCCTAAAAAAACATTTTATATAAAACTCATTTATTGTTCTTTAATTGTAGAGTTATGGTGACTACAAACTAAAATTGTGCATCAATTTTAATGCGATATTGTGTTAAAGTGTCACAGAAACATTACAGTACGTTCAATAAAGGAAAAGAGCATGTTTTATGGGTGTCAGTCTATTTCTATTTCTTTTTCAATACCGATTTCAACAAAACAAAACTTCTACAGCCAACTACATTGTCTAGATCGACCATCTGGCTGTTGGACCTGTTGTCATGACCTATGAAAAACCTGCGAATATTCCACTACAAAGATTAACTGGAGTTGCTTTTCTATGCACATTTTTGTTATGTTTGCTTGATTGTAAATTGCTAATCTCAAAATTAGGTTTATTTAGATGCAAAGAGATATAAATGAGTACTCCAATCACAATACAAATACTTCGTGAAAATTGCGTAAACATACAATTTTCATATATTTAAGATTTCTCTCTATTTTTATTCATGATAACAAAATAAATGGAAATGTAATGCACAGTTTTACATCATTTTTATATCAGATGAGTGTGTATTACACATCTTTACATTTAAAGTAGTCAAACGGAAATGTGTTTATAGTTCATGTTCAAATATTTAGATATAAAACTCTTATAAAAATCACCCAAAGTGTAATTATCTGTTGTTTGTATACGAATTTAGGTTCATTCTTCAATACATTGTATTTTTCATATAAATATAAAGATGGTACTCCAATACATTTTGTGCATCTATATACAGGTATATCTATGTAAGCTTTAAAAAATCTGACAAGAGACATCAGTTGTTGAGTTTGTCTGCTTTGTTTTAAATATGCGGGATATTCAAAATTGTATGGAAATTCGGTGATCACGTCGAGATATAGGACTATATCAAACACCTGCATCTCCTGGTTTCGTATAAAATAGCAGATACAACACATCCATTGCGACAGGTGGTGTTTCAAGTAGAGACAGGGTCATAATATTAGGCAAGTTATCTTAATAACTTATTTTATGCAGACGACGAAAACCATCAATTTGTTTCAAAATTTACATTTTCCTAATCCCTTCAGGGAACCCTGTATTACGATCTTTTGGCTGGTTGACCAACGGTCAGTTTCTACACAATGTATAGTATTATTACATTCTTACTGATCTACAGATCGATAATTGGTAAACAAGATTTCAAATCGGATCTTTTAAATTGTCCCTCCCTTTATCCCCATTCAACACCTTAAGCTTTTTTTAATTTGATGATTATTAGACGTTGATCTATATGTTAGGTTCATTACACATGTATTTTTTGTAAATATGGAAGTTTTAATTTGTGAGCATCTTCATTCCTCAATACTTATCATGCTAATGTGGCAGGTGTTACACTTATCATTTCGATATCTTTATATGGCTTAGTGGACCCCTTCCGTGGCCAAGCTATTGTTTTCTGCATTATTGTATTATCGTTTGAGTTTTTTTATTTATTATAATATTGTTATACAAATTTATGTGTATATATTGTTAATTTTTGTACGAGAAAAAAATATACTCTGAATAAGTAAAAATTTCGCTATTCACCTTCTTGTTTCTCTTTTCATTATGCATTACAATATATTTTGATGATTCATACACGTGAATGTTAAACCTCTGGTGGTTTGTTTGTGTTGAGGGAGGACACTAACAGAATCATACCCTGATTGAGCAATATTTTGAAAATTTCTAAAGCTAGAAAGAGAAAAACCATGAAAATACATAAGTTAATTGGTTATTGTCAGCGCTGATTAACAAGGTAATTTGAAAGAAAATTAGCTTTGACTAGAGTCTATATTTTTTTCCTTTTTTAACTTCAAATTTTGACTTGCCAACGGACATGTATACTGCAGCTTTTGCTTATCCGATAATGACTATCGCTTGTCCTTGGCAATTAATGTAAAACCATGCTTCCAAAAAGAAAACTTTCCATCAAATGACGTAGAGAGTTAGCAATTATAGGTCACCTTACGACCTTCAACAATAAATCAGAATCCATACCGCATGCCAGACAATAGTATATACAATTGTTCTTGGTAGTGTCATATCAAATATTTCGTGCAAAAGAAACGAGATTACTTATTACAGATCACATGATTCGTTAAATTATTTGAATCTATTGAAGTCAAGACAAAACTAGAGTCGACTTGCTTTAAAACACAAACAATACGGGCATGTTCACGAAATAAACCGATTTCAGTAAAGAAACGATCTTTGTTGGTTTGTCTTTTACATTTTAATAAACCAGATTATTTATTCCCAAAATATCAACCAAATCGGCATCACCGAATATTACGAACGTATTGATTTTGATGTCAATTAGTGTAACACTATAAAACGATCACATGAGGTACAGTAAGCGTGCCCACGTATCTGTAAGTACATGTGTGCGTTGTAAAGAAATGTTTAAAACAGTATTACAAGGCATTAAACAAATTAATAAATAAATAAAAACAAAAACAGAAAAATGTAAAAAAACAAAACGAAATGAAAAAATACTATAAAAAACTCAAAATAAATCACATGAATTTAAAGAATTATTTGGTTCCTTGTATTTTTTATTTGTTTTTATCCTGTTTATCTAGTACTTTCAATGATAATTTCATGGCACTTTGTTTGACTGTAACTGATTAAAATATTGGTATATTTTGCGATAACAAATGGTCAACCTATGGCAGAAGTAAGTCACCATTGGAGTTCAATAATTGTTGAAAAAGTTACCGGTCGGAAAATGTATGTGTTTGATTACAAATTCAGTTTTATTGAAGGCAACATTCAACATTACGCCTTGGGCCAGGACCAATATAGATATTAAAAAAAGAGGAAATCACTAAAAATGGATCTTTTACCGATGTGTTGGAAATTCCGAAATCAAATTGTAAACCTTAACAACATTTTTATTTCTTTTCTGAAACTGTAAATATACACTACTAACTGATGATAGAAAATTACGAAGTATACATGCGAAAAAGTATTTTCGATTAAAGAGATAATTGCAATTAGAAATTAGAAATGTTTAGCTTCTCCTCAAGTCCCTATTAAGTGAAGTGACGTGTCTTTTAAATGTGAGTTACACATGCTGGCAAGTGATTTAGCACTATAAAAGTCAAGACTAAAGTGGTGGTTTAGTTTCTATCAGGATTTCTGCTCATTGTTAAATATTACATTTTGCTTGTATTGCTGAAAATGTCTGACTTGACTTGAAAGAACAAATATCTAGCTGTCAAAGATTCTGATTCTTTAGGTACTGAAAACAGAAACAATACTCTCGTTTCGGGAAAGGTTGTTCGGGACCTAGAATTCTGAGTGGATTATGCGTTTAATTGAAAATCATGCGAGAATGTGCGAGATTTTAAAGAACTGGGGGCAAAGTCATATGGTACAAATCAATTTTCGATGTTAATGACGCCCGCCACTTTCCCGTTTACCTGTGAAGTCGTTGAGGGTCATCTGTTTTTTGTTCAGGTTTATAATGTGTAATAAATAGTATTTTACTATGGAATTAAACGCTCAGCAAAGAGGCCACCCTAACTAATAAACTATAAAAGTCCAGCTAAATCTAGAACAAAACAGTTTCAAAATTCATATCTCATTCTCATGATCTTAACCTGGATATGCAAATAACTGGCCACTGGACGCCAACTAGCCATGCATTCATCCATTAGTACCCCCTAACCGCAAGATATTCGCATTTCTTTTCACATATTGTGTAACTTGACTTCCATTATAAACAACTCAAAGTCGCCTCGGTTACTGGTGAAGCGATTTTCAGTAATGTTTGGCTACAAGAGCCACTTATTAAACGTATGTCTGACATTTAAGATTCCACTTTAATTTTATAAGACAGAAATTCTCACTTAAACTGAGTATTATCCGTTAAATTGTTAATTACTCCTTATGGTAAAAAATTCATAAGGGGTTCTGCTGAACCCTGTGTCTCGCCTGCAATTGCTGATGTCAGCGTTAAAGTGTAATGTTGACTTGAGAAGTGAGTTCGTTTATCAGTTAATTACAATTCAAACTGTTTCTTTAGATGCTCTTTTTTTTTGTTTTAAATTAGCATCTGTACATATTTGATAACAATCCATAAAGGTTTAAAAAAATATCATGTTTTTTTTTTTATACCAGACAGTAAGAAATGAAGTCCAACTATTAGAAAAATACTAAAAATGAAAAAAAAACTATTTTCAAAGGTTTGCTTCAGACATTATCTCTCAATCGTTAAAAAGCATCTACCAATGTTTCATAAAGCTCTATGAAGGTTTGACAAAGTATATGAATAGTATGGTACAAACAGACCAGCTGTATATACTTGTTCACTGTAAAAAAAAACTAATTCCATTTCTTAGTAAAATACGGAAAAATGAAAATAAATATTTCCTAAATTTTGCTCTTGAAACTTTATATGTTGATCATCAACAACATTCTGTCCAAATTTTATCAAATTCCATGAAGATTTGACAAAGTTATTGCTTACTGCAAAACTTTAACCTCAGACGAAATCTGAAATTCACTGTTAAAAAAAATGAAAATTAATATTTGCTAAATTTTGCCCGGGATACTGTATGTTGGTCATCTTGTGTCCCAATTTCATAAAATTTCATGTATGTTTGAAAAAGTTATTGATGTAAAACAAATCTTTAACCACAGACTGACACTAAATGTTGCCGCCGCCGACGCAGACGCTGACGACGGAATCTAGGATCGTCATGTCTCGACAAGACGACAATCATTATTCTTTTCTCTTTTCTTTTTCTTTGGTGGGGGTTAGATATTCTGCATACTACATTATGTATGCCTCACGATAAGACAAGATAAAATGCTGAACGACTCAGACCATCCCCCCCCCCCCTTTTTCCTTTCTAAATTGTGAATATCTGATGCATTTTGAATTAAATACACGTATGCAAATTCAACATATGTGTTAACGGTGACTGTCAGAACATAAATTATAAATATGGGTATAATTTTTTCAACTGTCCCCTGGTGAGATTAATAGTTTGAGTTAAATTGTTTTGATTCCAAATGGCCTAGATGTTGATTGACTTTTATTTTTATGACCAAAGATATGGTAATGAAATGACACCCGCATATATTTGTAACTGCTAAGTAAACTTTACAGCGTGAATCTGTCCATTTTTGCGTAAATTATCACAAAATTCCATTGGCCCGTCAGTAATTGTGTATTGAGTGATAAGAAATTGTATATTCTTTAAACAATTTGTTTTGTTTTACTCAAATCTGACATGTTTGCCATAAGTCGAAACAACCGATCCCAAAACCGGATTTTAGCCCCGGTTGCATTTAGAATACGAAATTTTATTTGAGCTTAAACATAAAATTATATCTTAGGCATATGGAACCTAGGTAACGACTTTTTTTTTAATATCTTCACCGGTGAAATAAAAAAGTATGCTGTACCGATTATAAAGAAAAAGAAAATGATTGTATTGGTAAGTTGTTACTTAATATATATAAAAATAACAAGATGTGGTATAATTGCCAACTCTCCACAAGAGACCAAATGACACAGGGATCAACACCTATAGGTCACCATACGGCCTTCAATAATGAGCAAAACCCATACCGCATAGTCCGCAATGAAAGGCCATGAAATGACAAATGTAAAACTATTCAAACGAGAAAACAAACGGCCTTATTTTTGTACCAAATAATGAACGAAAAACAAATATGATACACAGAAACAAACGACAACTACTAAATTACAGGCTCCTGACTTGGGACAGGCACATACAGAATATGGCAAGGTTAAACATGTTAGCGGACGCCCAACCCTCTATTTGGTATATTTCCATGCATTGCACTTTTTGCATCCCGTAAACAACATGCAATGTGTCAAAATATGAAGAGAAATGTGTGTCTAAAGATATAAAAAGGAAAGTCTAATATTTTTTGAATATGAATAGAATCATGCTTTTAACGTTTTATTAGCCTAAACGCAAGTCATGTTGTAGTAGTGGTGCATATATTTTATTATAAGGATGCAATCAAAAAACAAAAAAAAAAACATTAAAAGTATATTCTTGCATTTTTGAAATAATTCGGATTATTTCAATCAGTTTGTAGTCAATGCAAATTTTCCTAAATGATTACAGAGATCTTGTCAGTAAGAAAGTTGTACACAAAATAATATTTTAACGACTGTAAAGGACACGTTTCGAAAAACAGAGAAAATATGCGGCATGATACGTGATAGAGAGAAGCAGTATAATCTGACGTAAAAAGTATTATTAACATACATGGTTTTTTTAAAAACTATTTCATAAGATTATATCTTAATCTGTTGAACTTCCAATCAGTAATAACTGCTAACGAATGCTTCATAAAAACCAACTACAATATTTTGTATTTGTTTGATTCCGATTTCCCCTTTTTAGCTTTAAAATCGTGATTCCAATCTCTAAAAAGCAAATGACTCTATATATTCCAAGTTTAGTTCTAACATCATGGCATGTGTTACAGCTGTAATTATACAAATTGTTTTAATTACCATGTTCTTATAGATAGGCGATAGATACCAATGGGA